GTTCCAACACGATGAGGGGTGAGAGAGTGTTTAGATAAATAGATTTCTAGTGTGGGTTTTGATGTCAAGGAGGCAGAACCTGTGGACATAATGGGTGGAGCTTTGAGCAAGTAAAAATCTCATTTTGCTTGTCCTAGGTTCTGTTGCTTTTAGAGGAGAAACAGGAGGTGCAGAAGCAGAACAGTTTCCCTGTTGTTCAGCCTGTAGCTTTGTTTAAAGGGCCTATCTAAAATAGTAGATTATTGGCTAAGCAGAGCAAACAGAGAATTGGAGAGTCTGAGAGTTGGAGAAGCATGGCTAGTGTTAAACAAGAATCTATGCTTCGATCTGACTTTGATGTCTGCCTTGCTTATGCTGTAGGCTAATTTACTCTGTTAATTTAGGTCTTATCAATTTCCTCTCTTTTCCTCTAACTGTAACAAGTGTATTTTGCCTTTTGTGATGGATTTTACAAAGAAAGACTTCTGCTCAGTGTTTGTCATCGTAAATTCTCATTGTTGCTGCTGCCCTCAAAAGGATTGTGTAAATGAGGTGGGTAAGACTTTCTAATAAAACAAAAGGTATATTGTAGCCATTGGGTGATATTTGAAGCAAGTATCAGTTAAAGTACTGAAATTGTTTACTTTAGAATGCTTTTTAAAATACTTGATGTTTTATGGTTTAGTTAACTTGCACTACATTTCTTATGAGGAGGAAAGAGGCTTTTCTCAATTCTGAATGGTTAGGAAGAGTTTTACTTTTATGAAAGGATACATAAATGTTATCCTAACACATTTGAAACCTAAGCTTTTAAGAAGCAAGTGCTGGCAGTTTTTAAGAGCTAGAATATTGAACCAGAGAATACCATATTACGACTCAGTTTTATTTTTCCCCAGATTAGTTGGCAAACCATAAGTATATAGAATTCAAAGAAAAATTGAATCTATACAATCCATGTATTATGTGTTTTCCATTTTTCTTAGTTCAGATCAACATTTTACAAACATTTATATCAACTCCTGATGTACCTTTGGAGGGAGTCACAGTTGTTTTCTTTCTTTCTTTTTCTCTTTTTTGGCTCGAAAATTGCACAAAAGTGGCCTTTGTTTTTGTTTTAAGAGAATACATAATTTTTTTAAAACCCAGAAGTATCTTAAATTAGATATTCAAGAAGGTGTTCAAGAAGCTCTTTTGTTGAATGCAAGGAAACATGCTACTCTCCCCGTCAAAAAAACGTATCATGGCACTGTTGCCTAAAGAGAGATTCCTGTTAGTTACAAAAGTGAGCAAGAATATTTCTAGAGACAGTGGGGTTGCTGGGTGTAGAAGAATGGAGTGAGCAAGTGTTTCTCCTTAACCAAATTTTTCTTATGTGTAAAATATTTAATCTGCCAATTTATCTGCCTTAGTACTCTTTTTCTGTTTTGTGTTTTTAAACCTCATTCAGAAGAGGTGAGCAAAACTTTGCCTGTACTGGTCAGAACAGGACTAGACTAGTATTTAGTGAGGCTAAATCAGGTAGTAAAGAAAACGAATGACATTAGGAGGATTTTAAAGGCTCTAAGTTGATCGTTTTGTTGAAGTATATGAACTACGGAGTAGAAAAGATGAAATCTTAGCAAAATATTTTTTCATCATTAGTTTTGCTCTGTCTGGTGCTTAAAATCATGTTTTAGAATAATCTAGACCATTTTTTTTTAATTTAAAAAAGTATGTTACCAAAAATATTTTAAAATGTATTGAGTTCTGCCCATTTCTTCACTGGATCATATAAATAAATAAAATAATAAAAAATACATGAGTTCTTTCATTTCTTAAGAAGCCTGTAAGTATGATAAATGTATCAAAACCTGTGCTTGTTTATTTCAAGCAACTTTCTATTATGTTTCCCAGATGACTTTTCTGTAGGTCACTTTCAGTGTTAAGTGAGGTTTCATGCTCATTTTTACATTTTGTGGGGTCATTTTCAATATATAATCCCCATATATTCTTCTCAAATGGTTCAGAACACTTCTGCTAGATATTTTGATAATCCTGGTTTCTTGATGGTAGCTGAGTGGTAGCTGAAATTTCTTCTATCTTTTTCATTATCTGTGTGGGTAACAGTAAGCTGAATTAATCTTTTAATACCAGCTGCTGGACTGGTAAGGTATGTCTCAGTTTTATTGGTTACCTTGGCACCTGCAATACATTTTTTAAGTTGGCAGTGACAATCAGATTACCAATTATATAGCACTGTTACAGAACTTTCTATATTTGAATCTTGAATAGCTTAACCTAGTAAATTTAAGGTGTTATATTATGCACAGTTTCTGGTTTTACCAGTATGACCTTACATAGCTCGTTTGTTCAACTAATAATTCTATTTATAAATAGGAATTCCTATTTGTAAAGTAGTGAATGTTTATATGGGTAGGATTAGCAAGAGGATTATTTATTTTTAAGGATAACCAAGGATGAAAGTAGGTTCACTCTACATCTTGGTGATTATTTTTCAAGAGAATTCTTTGCTTCCTTTTAACCCTAAGATTTATTATCTTTCGTGATTGCCTCTGAATTCAAAAGGGACCTTAGGTCAGCAAACTTAGTAATTCAAAGAGCTTGCAATCTAGATACCACATTTGATTCTAGCTGCCGTGAATGTAGGTTGGCAAGTTGGACAGGTACTGTCCCCATTTGCTAGATGAGGAATCTGAAATCATCATTCCAATATGCCTGTGCTAAATTGGAACAGAACTTTAATATAATCAATATATGTGTGTTTTATTAATATGTAGAGTTTTTACTATCAGGAGGCCAAAGTCCATTCCCCTAAAATATATAATAGAATAAGAAGCATTTTTCCTAATTATATCTGTATTCTCTTTGACCACTTTCCTGTAATATTTGAATTGACTTTACATGCAAAGGCCAAGTATGTATTAGTGTCCAGTTTTACCAAAGAACATTCTTTTAGACAATTTTCTGCTGATAGTAAATGTTCTACAAACTTGATATACAGTATTTTAGATTGTTCTTCCCATTATATTTATAAATAACATCTTTAAGGTTTGCTTTTATAGTTTTACATGTTTGTTGTAGAACATTAAAAACAAATATAACACAAAATCTCCAGTGTTTCCACTACCAGAGAACTTTCAGGGAGCATCATTCTTTTTTTTTTTTTCTTTTTTTTTTTTTTCTCAAAATAGTTCCCATTTTCTTAAGCCCTTTAGTTTGAAATACCATACCAGCAACCTTTTGCTTCAGCAGCATTATTTTTCTTACTCTTATTTGAGTTATTATATGAAGGCAAAGACAAGTTGGGAAAACTTACCTGGATTTGAAAAATAAGAAAATTAGGGAAAATAAAATAGTGATCTTTGTAGTCATTACTTAGAAATGAACCTTTTTGGGGCACCTTGGTGGCTCAGTCAGTTAACGACGTCAGCCCAGGTCGTGAATCTCACAGTTCATGGGTTTCGAGCCCCGTGTCGGGCTCTGTGCTGGCCACTCGGAGCCGGGAGCCTGCTTTGGATTCTGTGTCTCCCTCTCTCTCTGCCCCTCCCCTGCTCACACTTGCTCTCTCTCTGTCAAAAAATAAAAAAAAGAAATGAACCTTTTAGGGGTGCCTGGGTGGCTCAGTCAGTTAAATGTCTGACTCTTGATTTGGGTTCAGATCATGATCTCGCAGTTTGGTGAGTTCGAGCCCCATGTTGGGCTCCATGCTGACAGTGCAGAGCCTGCTTGGGATTCTCTGTCTCCCTCTCTCTCTGCCCCTCCCCCACATGTGCTGTCGTTGTCTCTCTCAAAATAAATAAACTTAAAAAAATTTATTAAAAAAAAAAAATGAACCTTTTAAATACATGGGTTTAACTTTAGGGTCAGTCCTACTGACAGTTCCTTGCTGTGGAAAGTTAGCCCTAGAGGTAGAATCCTCCACATCAGGACTTTGAATAACACAGTTGAATAACTGATGAGAATTAGAGTTGATCCTTGATGCATGTTATTATAATCCATGCATTTCTGTGATTTGTCAGATTATTTTCACTAATTTTGTTTTAATTGATCTTGTCACTGAGACTATAGATGATTAAAATTTATATACTTTATTCTAACTTTTCTAGGACCTCTCCCTTACTTCTATTTCTATATTCCTATTCCCTGTGTTTTATGTGTTTGTGTGCCACTTGGACAATATGTCAGTGCAGCTACTTCAATCCACGTGGTTACTTAGATAAGGTGGGAATAGCAAATGAGGTGATTTTCTCCATATCACCTCTCAGTATTTTGTTATTCTTACATCTTATGTATATTTTCTATACATTGCTGAAATTTTTATTTGCCAACAATTTACATTTTATGAAGATTCTAAAATACCACTAGGATACTATATAGTATTACATATAATAGTAGTGAGTTTTCTTCAGAAAATAGTTAGAAATCTTGTCTTTTATATGGATCTGATATATCACTTTTCATTTTATGTTTCATATGTACCAGACAATTTGCTCTTCTGTTATCATGCCAAAACAATCCAAATCCTTAACTCCTGTACTCACTGAGTTTGTTGCAGAGTACTGTGATAATAGAATACCTGCCAAACTAAGCATGTGAATTCATGCCCATTCGTGGATTCACTGTTCAAAGTAGTTAAATACTATGTTGATTAATGTGTTAGGGAACAAGGCTGAACAAAAGATCTAACCAGTTAGAGCATTTGGCCTTCTTTTTAGCCAATAACTTCCTTTACCTGAAACACAGCCGAAGATGTTGACAGTAGCCTAAATTTTTCCCTAGCCACATATAGAGGCTATGGAAATAAGAAACCCCACTATCTGACTGTTCCTTGTTTTCTTGCCGTGGTTAAATTGCCTCTACTTAGCTCTGACCCTGCAATGGACCAGCTCCTGCAGGCAAATCAGAAAAAAGCCAGGATGGTAAGAAGGCAATCTAATAAAAGCTTAAGAGGCAATTCAAAATCAAAGTTCAAAGACCCTGCCATTATTAAATGTTTCTGTTGCTATTTTTATGTTTCTCAGGGAGTGAAGCCTGCCAGTTTTGACAAAGTAGCAATTCCTGAAGTGAAGGAAATTATTGAAGGATGCATAAGGCAAAACAAAGATGAAAGGTAAGTTGCCACTTTTAACTTAGGTATTGCATAAAAACCTAAAATGTAATGATATGTCTGAATACAATACTCAATCTAAAGTGTATTTAATATTTCACTTGTGGGGCGCCTGGGTGGCGCAGTTGGTTAAGCGTCCGACTTCAGCCAGGTCACGATCTCGCGGTCCGTGAGTTCGAGCCCCGCGTCAGGCTCTGGGCTGATGGCTCAGAGCCTGGAGCCTGATTCCAATTCTGTGTCTCCCTCTCTCTCTGCCCCTCCCCCGTTCATGCTCTGTCTCTCTCTGTCCCAGAAATAAATAAATAAACGTTGAAAAAAAAAATTTAAAAAAAAAATATTTCACTTGTGATTAATTTCTCTATTTATGTCATGGAATATCTTTAAAATTAGCATTCTGGGGGTGCCTGGTTGGCTTATTTGGTAGAGCATGATACTCTTGATCTCAGTGAGTTCAAGCCCCACATTGGGTATAGAGATTACTTTAAAAAATAAAAATTTTTAAAAATCTTTAAAAAGTAGACTTCTGTCCATTTAAGGTAATATTGAGACTTGATATACTGAAATGTTGTGAAAATGTAGTGTCATAGGGTTAAGTGAACCAGAACCATCTTAAACTTAGCTGCTACATTCAGATAACAACTACTTAACCTGTAGCGTTAGCATAATTTATAAAACTCAATAGGGTTCAGTCTCTTTCTAACCAGCAGATCTGTTTGTTAGTTCTTTACCCATTGAATTCTAAAAGGTGAAATAAAATCTTGGCTCTTGGAAATCAGCTCAACTATACAGGTCTTGATTTGCTGTCATTCTGCCAGAATTGAAGAGCAAAACACCAAAATTCCTTTCAGTAAAAAGAGACAAGTTTGCCCAAAGCTTAGGAGGAGATCTGGCTTAGTCATGTGTACTAACAGGACTTTTCTCAGAGGAGCGGCAAGTATCTGATACATCATACAGCTGATTCATAACCCGTCAGGCATGGCAAAGAGCCAGTGTCTGTTTATGAAAAATAATCTACCCTCACCATCCCCACTCACCTTCCAAAAAAGAAAAAGAAGACCAGTCAGTACAAATATAAATTGTAAGTTGAGCATAATCTATCTCCTTAAGAATGAGAGCAATCAGGTATATCATCCAAATTAAAGAATTCAGTATCTTCACTTCTCCAGTATCATTCTCTTTTCATAACTCTGTTGTTTGGAAGAGCTTAACATCATGATCTTTAAGACTGTCCAATAGAAATTTAGTTTGGATTTCTAATTGTATATACAGTGTTTGGAAAGGGGAGTCCTTAATCTTCTAAGAACTTTTTTTTTACTATAAACAAAGGAGTATTTGTTTCCAGTCTTAAAACATATTGCTATTTCTTTTCTGGATGATACAGTTTACTAGATTACTGGTATTTTGAAACCATTTATCTAAAGAAGATTATTCCACAATCAGATTTTTGCCTAGTACACAAATTGTTGAACAAGGAATTGAATTTATTGGGGTAAATAAAGTTGTAGTAGAAGGTAAAGAACTAGAAATCAAAAAACCTATTTTCAAATTTTGATTCAACCATTAAGCCTTCTAACTATGAGAAGATTTTCATCCTCTCTGAGCCTCCATTTCCTAAAAATCAAAATAATACCTCACTGGCTGTTGGTGAAGGATTAGATGAGGAAATTTTGTTAACTATAAATTAACATATGAGGAATTTTTGTTAACTGTAAATTTCTTTAAAAAAAAATTTTTTTTTAACGTTTTTATTTTATTTTTGAGACAGAGACAGAGTATTAACAGGGGAGGGTCAGAGAGAGGGAGACACAGAATCTGAAACAGGCTCCAGGCTCTGAGCGGTCAGCACAGAGCCCGATGCGGGGCTTGAACTCACTGACCGAGAGATCATGACCTGAGCCAAAGTCGGCCGCTTAACTGACTGAGCCACCCAGGCGCCCCTTAACTGTAAATTTCTACGTAAACTATGTGGTATTTTGAAGCTATGATATTCTGTGTATTATTTGCTGTTACTAGTACATTGTTAACTAATATGAGATTAGATCACTTCGATTAAAAAGTATCACTTTCAACTTTTATTTATAAATGAGACTTCTGATGTTCTGTAACTTGAGATCAAAACTATAATCACTATTTACACGGAGCAATGTAGAAATGAGTTATAAAATCTTTGTTTTTTTTTTTTTTGTCCTTTTTTATTATTCCAAGCATGACAATAATCAGCCACACTTGAAAATTATGTTTTAGGGGCGCCTGGGTGGCGCAGTTGGTTAAGCTTCCGACTTCAGCCAGGTCACGATCTCGCGGTCCGGGAGTTCGAGCCCCGCGTCAGGCTCTGGGCTGATGGCTCAGAGCCTGGAGCCTGTTTCCGATTCTGTGTCTCCCTCTCTCTGTGCCCCTCCCCCGTTCATGCTCTGTCTCTCTCTCTCCCAAAAATAAATAAACGTTGAAAAAAAAAATTTTTTTTTAAAAAAGAAAATTATGTTTTAAATCTAATGGTATTTTGTTTTGTTTTTGTTTCACTTCCCTCTCTTTGGTAGATATTCTATCAAAGACCTTTTGAACCATGCCTTCTTCCAGGAGGAAACAGGGGTACGGGTAGAATTAGCAGAAGAAGATGATGGAGAAAAGATAGCCATTAAATTATGGCTACGTATTGAAGATATTAAGAAACTAAAGGGAAAATACAAAGACAATGAAGCTATTGAGTTTTCCTTTGACTTGGAAAGAGATGTGCCAGAAGACGTTGCTCAAGAAATGGTAAATTAGCACTGATCTGCTATTTAAAAATTGATACAGACTTACAAACATTGGTATTATTGAGCAAAAAAGTTTATGAAGCAGTGTGGATGGCAGATCTCATTGATACAAAATTGTATTGATTAATGGCCCCAAAGTTATTTTTATTTAAGGAAAAGATAAATAGATGTAGATATATAAGGATGGATGGATGGGTCTAAAATGTATTCTGAAGTAATGTGAAAGACTGTAAGGTCAAATGACTCCTAATCTAGATAAACCTATAGAGTTCAAATGACAGTTTATATTTTCTAAATATATAAATATTGATCAGTTATTGGGATAAACTCTGTAAATACACTGTGAATTGTTTTTACTTGAGGGAGTTTTCAAGATCAATTATTAGTAGGCAGCCTTTGATCAATCACTTTTTGAATTATGTCTAAAATATAACTTTTCAGAAATGAAACACTTCACCAATTTTAGGGTTGCCATAGTGCCTAAAATAGTGAATATAAAGAGATACTCCTAGAATATCTCTACTAGAATTTATAAGAACCATTCAACAGAAAGGGTCAGGTATGAAAGAGATATTTATTTTAATTGTTAGTTTTTTATACCATTAGAGATTTGTGTTTTTATTTGTTTTTTTTTTTTTTTTTGTAACTTTCATTTATTTACCATGGTTGTTTCTGGTTAAGTTGTTGCCTAGCGAAACAAAGTTTAAAACAAGACAGATTAATATTAATAGTTAATGTGAGTGGGGAAATCGAGTGACTAGAATAAAATGAGCCTTATTTGGTTTAAAACCTTTGGTTTTAGGTTCCCCATTGTTTTGTTGTTATTAGGAGTAAAGGTACACCCACCCTGAGAGTTTCTACAAAGATGATGGCACCCACCCTATGAGTGTCTATAAAAATGGTGGAGAAATGCATAATGCAGACCAGTAATTTCACAATTTGGTTAAGACCAGTCCTTAGAGAGGTCTTTCTCTTCCCCCTTCTTCCTGCTTTTTTCCCCACACCTGCTTCTTTTGTTTTATATTTGGTTTGCTTTCTTTTGATATTGTACTGCTTCCTAACGCACTCCTTTATCCTGTAGGTAGAGTCTGGGTATGTCTGTGAAGGTGATCACAAGACCATGGCAAAAGCCATCAAAGATAGAGTATCATTAATTAAGAGAAAACGAGAACAGCGGCAGTTGGTACGGGAGGAACAAGAAAAAAGAAAGCAGGAAGAGATCAATCAGAAACACCAGGTAGAACAACAATCAAGTACTTCCCAGGCAGGAGTCAAACAGATCCCATCTGCTAGTACTGGCATGCCTCCTGCTTCTACCACATCAGCTTCAGTTTCTACACAAGTAGAACCTGAAGAACCTGAGGCAGATCAACATCAACAACTACAGTACCAACAAACTAGTATATCTGTGTTATGTAAGTATTTTGGGAAGTGGACAAGTATGCTAAGGATACTCCTAAATGATTTTTCATCTTTTTACTCATCATTTTTCGCTGGCCTCTTGGTTTGAATCATGAAGCCAATATATAATAAGAAATTTGAAGTAATTACCACTAACAAACTAGGACAGGACAGTAAGGAAATGTGATTAGGATATAAAATAATTTGGGGCTCCTGGGTGGTTCAGTCAGTTAAGCATCCGACTTCGGCTCAGGTCATGATCTCACGGTTGTGGGTTCAAGCTCTGCATCGGGCTCTGTGCTGACAGCTCAGAGCCTGGAGCCTGTTTCAGATTCTGTGTCTTCCTCTCTCTCTGCCCCTCCCCAACTCACGCTCTGTCTCCTTCTGTCTCAAAAATAAATAAACATTAAAAAAAAAAAAAGGATATAAAATAATTTCACAGGTTCCAACATCTTAGAAGTTCCAGTTTATAGATTTCTACTTTTCACAATTCCTTAAAATAAAATGTAATTATGAAACTAATATTACACTGTATGCTAACTGGAATTTAAATAAAAACTTTTTTTAAAACTTACATCTGCAAAAATAAATGAATAAAATGAAATATAACTAATAATGAAAAATGAATAAATTTATCTTAGCTATTTGTAATTGAATCCATTAATCTGGTTCAGCATTTTTAGCAAAGCTGAATAACATGTAGACTAGAAACTAATGCACCTCTTATTAGTTTTTGATTGAACTACCTCCTTAATACTAAGAATGCACTGCTCTCCAAGACTTTGAAAGCTTGGAAAGCTACATCATAAGACTTTGAAAGCTACATCAAACCTATGGCTGACTAATAGCATTCCATTTTAGTTCCCTTATTCTTCAGGTAATAAGATTCTATGACAGCCATGCAGTTTTTTTTTTTTAAAGACATTAAAACTTTTTTCCATATGGATCCTTCATGTTTTTAAGCATAGAAATCTACTTAGTAAAATAACTAGTATTCATTTTTTATTTAGTTCAGGTCTTTACAAAGAAAAAACTAACCCTAGAGTAATGGGTTTGTGATGGGAAAATATAAACCTCCTTTTTGTGATGTGTGTCTCTCTGTGTTTTTTGGCAATTTATTTCTCCCTCAGCTGATGGGACGGTTGACAGTGGTCAAGGATCTTCTGTCTTCACAGAATCTCGAGTGAGCAGCCAACAGACAGTTTCATATGGGTCCCAACATGAACAGGCACATTCTACTGGCACAATCCCAGGGCATACAGCTTCTGTTGTCCAAGCACAATCTCAGCCTCATGGGGTATATCCATCCTCAAGTATGGTAAGTAACTGCATAAGAGAGTGTAAGCCTATAATGAGGGCCAGTAGATGTAATATGTTAATTTCAGATTCTTTCTGCTATCCAAGTAATAGCATGAGTTTGAAGTAGATAATATAGATGGTATGTTTCTAAAGGAAATAGGTTTATTATAGAGTACAATTGGAGTAGTTCACTTAGGCTAGAACATAAACATTAATGTATGAGAATCAGCTGAACTTCCTAGGTGAAGAAACTATGTACAAGATTTAGACTAATCTGTATTTGATTAAAGATAATGCCCTCTTTAGCACTTTAGAGTTGAAACTGTTCAAATCAGCATAAGTTGGACATACAAATGATTTGAGGGTGGGTGTGTGGAGTGTTTTTCAAAAGCTTACTTACTAAAAGAATTACTAAGCATTTTTTATAAGATTTCTTATTGTATAAAACACAGGTAAGACATTCAAACCATTATAGAATGCTGCATGTGAGTACTTTAGAGTGAAGAAATCCTTTATTTGTATGACCATTTAATTTAGCGCTTGTGTTTAGTTAACCATCAGTTGCTATGCGTGTTCCTGCCTTAAAGTCTGTGTTGGACACAAATTCCTTCCCCAGTATACGTTCATTTGCTTTTTCTCTTTATTTGGTATGGTTTTATTACAGATTTATTTTCAGAATCCACTTATGGAGATTATTTCCTGAAATATTTTATGCATTTATATGTAAACACAGATACACACACACTGCCCCATGTTTTACATTAGCCACTCTTGCTTTTCATATAGAAAATGTTAAAATAGGTATCAGGTAATACCCCATTTCTTTTGTTGACCCTCTGTGAAGTCTTCAGTGCTAAATAAAGTACATCATCTGCTTCAGGAAGGAATTAGAGAATAACTGGTCACTGTATAGCACTTGTGTAGTGAGATCTTTAGACAGATTTTTTTTTTTCTCTTTCTCAGAAAGCTTTTAAATCAGAATTTTGTGGAACTTCTGCTCGACATTAAATGAAAATCTTTCTCTGTTAAGAAAATACTTTTGCTTGCTCTGCTCTTTTGTCCTACAGCTTGGAATAAAAGACGTTTGTATGTTTCAGAGTCCATTCATGAGTCCTGCATTGGCTAAGTCTCAAGATGAATGGCCACAGTAATGCAAAGAAAACTAATACACTAATGTTTTCTACTTTTCTGACCTTTAAAATAATTAAGTAGGGTAGAAGAACTTACAGAGACTATATAGATGTATTTCCGTGTTCTGACAAATATTATTTGTCAGCATTTCTTGTTCATTTCTACTCTTGTTCTGGTTGATTTTTTGTGGATCATCACAACTAGATTTCTTTTTAACTATTTTTAATCTCTTTGCTTCCCTCATCACAGGGTAATGAACGTTAGGCGTCTCTATTTTAGAAAAGGAGATAGAATGATCATTTATGATTTTAAATATTTGAGCCACAAAGATAGTTATATTTATTTATTGATGCTCTAAAAGCAGACTGTTAATGACAGCCTTGCCTTTTAATGACAGTATTCTGTGGAGGTATATCATGAAGAGTCATCAAATATTGAGGATTTTTTAAATCTTATGATTCTTTTTCTTTCTTAATGCAGAAAGAATTTACTATGGCTTACAATAATATATCACTTATATGTGCAATAAAAAAATTAGAATAAAAGGGAAACGGGTGGAAAAAAAAATAGAACCAGGAATGAACTAAGTATGATAAGTATGATGATGCTTAAGTACTTACTACTGGTAGGCCACAAATTTCGTTCAAAGCATTCTGTGCAGCCAGTTTTGGAAAAGAAAACACAATCAACTATACAGTTCACAGTACCTAAAGGGAAATGACAAACTTGCTCAGGACAACTTTAACAGTATTAGGCATACTACTTTTCAGCTGTATTAAAGTTTTTATGTTGAGACGCTTCAAACTTTATAAACCTAAGTTGAATCTCTGATACGCCAGAAAACTCTTAAAGTTTTACTCTTCAGAGACTCACATTTAAGGTATTTTTCCATTGACTACTTTGGTAAAACTACAGAATGTGTCTATGTCGTGAATTACTTCTAGAAAACTAATGCTTTTCCTGTTAGAAAATGAGTTTTTACTCTTTACAGATAAAGATAGGAAATGTAATAAATAAAATACTCTGAGACAACAATTTTTTTTAGTCTGATCCCTTCTTTTTTTTTAATTTTTTTTTTTTTTTTAATGTTTATTTATTTTTGAGACAGAGAGAGACAGAGCATGAACGGGGGAGGGGCAGAGAGAGAGGGAGACACAGAATCGGAAACAGGCTCCAGGCTCTGAGCCATCAGCCCAGAGCCTGACGCGGGGCTCGAACTCACGGACTGCGAGATCGTGACCTGGCTGAAGTCGGACGCTTAACCGACTGCGCCACCCAGGCGCCCCAGTAGTCTGATCCCTTCTAAATAGAACTGAGAAACCTCTGAAATTTCCAGAGTTCCGGCAAAGTAATCCAGTCTTCAAGTCTTCTACACATTATAATGTACATTAAACTAACAGAATTAATTCTTTCTTAATAAGTTTTAAAAAAACTGTAAGCCAGTATTCATTGTATTCCCTATCTATTCTACTACCTCAGTCAGTTGGCTCTTCTTATTCATACATTCATAACAATTGATGTAATTTCAGAATATTTAGGAAGATAATTGATCATTATCGTGGTGGTTCATAAAAAGCCTGTATGTGGCCAACAGTGTAGAGAGCATAGTTGTGATCTGCCAGGTGTGCTTTGTGGAATTATGCCTCTCCACAAAAAAATTGGATTTGCTGGATTGGGGGAGGATGGACAGTTCTTTAGGTCAGCTATGCCCTATTATCATTGTACATTTGGTTATTTTTTTTTTTCAAAGTATTGTGTTTTTCATGTGTGTGTTTGTTTTCTGTTTAGCCTCGTCGTGGCCGTAGCATGTCGGTTTGTGTTCCCCATCTTTCTGCTGTTCCCTCTCTGTCCCGCATCTCTCCCAGTGCTCCTTCCACCCCACCACCAGTGCTGTCTGCATCTCTTTCTCCTTCCCTCCTTCGGATTGCCCCTGAGGAAACTTTTGCCGAAAAGCTTTCTAAAGCATTGGAGAGTGTCCTGCCTATGCACTCTGCCTCTCAGCGCAAGCACCGACGCTCCAGCCTGCCTTCCCTCTTTGTCAGTACTGTATGTAACTGTAAACTTCCTGACAAATGAAAATTTATTACCAATGAATACATCCAGGCATCAAGAATTTTAATAAAAATTAGATAAATAAAAAGGACTACACTTATGCTTTCAGGATACCAGTTCTTCCTATAGGAAACTTTTTTGTTACAGGCTTTAAGGGGGGAAAAAAGCAAGGAGGTAATGAGAGAGAATGCTTATAGTGCCCTGGACACATATCAATGTGCACACAATAAAATTTAGTTTTTATTATATTCTCCTATCCCTAACCTATACGAATCCTTGCATTTTCACATATTAATATAAAGAATATGTATTACTTCATTTTAAATTCATTGATTTAACCAAAAGCAAGTTTTCTCTTTATCAAAAAAGTAACTCAAATACATTTTCTCTTCACGTCATTCTAAAGAGACACTAATGAAGCTGAATGAGTCCATTTTTCCCCCATAGCAAAGAGTAATTGAAGACTGAAAGTTGCTTTTAATTCTTAGCGGTTTAAAGTGATGGTGTTGGCAAACTAAAACATATGTTCCCTCGTGGAAATTTGTCTCTTAGATTGATCAAATAAGGTGGGATCTTGACTAATGAATACATTATTTTTTGGAGGGTGCAAAAATGGTAGTTTTATTAAAGCACAAAAACAGGACTCGTGGGCAGAAAGAGCTGCTGCGACCCTAGTGAATACATTAGATACACATGTAGTATATAAGATTTTCTTTGGCCCCATTTGTATCTATAAAAGATCTGTCTCTTAAAGTTGTGTTAAACACTGTGGGACCTTGCTGCTGCTTTTCCAGATAGAGAATATAGTTAACATTCTGATCTAGCAATATCAAAATATTCAAATTTGTACTTAGGAGAATGATTAGCCATATATATGTTATGGCTTTGGGATACTCCTTGAATAAACAGTAAAATGAAGCATTCTGGTCTGAAATAGAAGCCCTCTTTTAGCTGTTGTGAAGAAGCAACAGTTGAGCCATTTTGCTAACTTGATGGGGACTATCCCTACTGAAAGAATGAAATTAATCTACTCTTTTTAAGAAGAGTCCATAAAAGTGAATTATTACAGTGTACACTGTTTGCATTTGGCTAGGTAGGATTCTAAAATTATAGTCTTATGACTGTAACTGCATATGTGAATAAAAAAGTGCTGTTAAGTCTGTTATTTATATTATCCTTTTCACTTGATTTGAACACTAAATTATTCACGCCTTAACTAGGATCAGAGAAGTGGACATTCAGCAATTTGACATCTGTAACATGTTTCGTGTAGTAAAATTAACTGCATCTAGTTTAAGATAGATGGGGGGAAGGTATTTCTGTCAGTAGTCCGTAGTGTGTCTTTTACTGTCCACCAAAAATACTTCTTTTGATTTCTAGTTAGATGACATACTGTTAGTTGATAATAACACTGAAGCCTCTAACAGCACAGGATAATAATATAGAATATAGGAAAACTTTGTATAGCAGATTAAATTGAAGTACCTTTCTTATATCTTAAAAATGTTGAGCTTACTGTCTTCCCTTAACTCTTACTATTTTAATTCTTTTTCCACTGATTTAAATATACATTAAGTCTTAAGAGTGAGAATATTAATTGGGGGTAAAAACAGAATAAACACTTAGAAAACTCTTCCATTTCCTTTGAGAGAAGATGTTGTGGAAAAGCAGCTCTTATCTAACGCAAAGAATCCCACAGAATAACTTTATTGACCCTGGATGTATTTAATGGATTTTTACTATGCACATAATTTCCAAAAGCATTGTTATTTCTTTATTAATTATAAATTTTGTGTAACCGTTTCATAGGGTTACACAGAGCTACCCAGTTTTGCATGTCTAATGTAATTTCACATATGAATGTATGAATTACTTGTCTTATTCATGTTGATACAGCCTCAGTCCATGGCGCATCCGTGTGGGGGGACCCCAACATACCCAGAATCACAGATATTTTTCCCAACTATTCATGAACGTCCAGTTTCTTTTTCACCACCTCCCACCTGTCCACCGAAGGTGGCCATTTCCCAGCGGCGTAAGAGCACCTCCTTCTTGGAAGCCCAAACTCGCCACTTCCAACCCCTGCTGAGGACTGTTGGCCAAAATCTTCTTCCACCTGGTGGCAGCCCAACTAACTGGACACCAGAGGCCGTAGTTATGTTGGGCACTACAGCCAGTAGAATAACTGGAGAGCCATGTGAGATACAGGTCCATCCTATGTTTGAACCAACTCAAGTTCACGGTGACTATAGACCTGGACTAGTACTTCCAGAAGAAGCTCACTATTTTATTCCTCAGGAACCAGTGTATCTAGCTTACCAGGCCCAGGTGACAGAACAGTATGAGGGTATTCCATACAACTCACCAGTACTGTCAAGTCCTATGAAACAGATACCTGAACAGAAGCCAGTACCAGGGGGCCCTACCTCAAGTTCTGTCTTTGAATTTCCATCTGGACAGGCTTTCCTGGTAGGACACCTTCAGAATTTAAGATTAGATTCTGGATTGAGTCCAGGATCTCCCCTCTCTAGTATTTCTGCACCTATCAGTACAGATGCTACACGTTTGAAATTTCACCCTGTCTTTGTTCCTCATTCTGCGCCCGCTGTGTTAACTCATAACAATGAGAGCAGAAGCAATTGTGTATTTGAGTTTCATGTTCACACTCCAAGCTCCTCTTCGGGAGAAGGAGGAGGAGTCTTGCCTCAGCGTGTTTACCGAAATCGACAGGTTGCAGTGGACTTGAATCAGGAAGAACCACCTCCTCAATCAGTTGGATTACATGGCCGCCTACAGCCTGTGACTGAAGAACAGCGTAATTACCATGCCCCAGAATTGACCGTTTCTGTGGTAGAGCCTATCGGACAGAACTGGCCAATAGGAAGCCCAGAATATTCCAGTGATTCCTCACAAATTACTTCTTCAGACCCCAGTGATTTTCAGTCACCTCCCCCTACAGGGGGAGCAGCTGCACCTTTTGGCTCTGACGTCTCATTACCCTTTATCCATCTGCCTCAGACAGTGTTACAAGAATCCCCACTTTTCTTCTGTTTCCCCCAAGGAACCACATCTCAGCAGGTTTTATCTGCCTCATTTTCTTCAGGAGGATCTGCACTCCATCCACAGGTTATAGGAAAACTTCCACGATTCTTTTAAACTACCCTACTGTGCATCATTACATTTAAGTTTTCTATCCCTCCTTTCCATTTATGTGGATTATTTTTAATTTTATTCGTAATATTAGTATTTCTCCTTTTGGGGGGATTATAAACTACTTGTATATAAGAACAAAGTATGAGAGAGAAGCTGCCTCATTTACCTATAATATGTGCAAACCCTTGAAAAAGAGAACACAAAAACTAGAACTTTAGTCACTCGTCAAAATCAGTTACTTCTATCCATATGTAGAATAATTTCAATTTGTAGTGAGAATGTAACTGTCTATCATGTAAAGTTGACTCATCGTTGATTATTTATAAATATTAATATGAAGTATTTCTCTCTCCCTAGAAACAAACATGGCTAGTTTTTGGTTTTTTTTTTTTTTTTAATAGGTTTTTTTTCTGTAAAATGAAAAGAATGGAAAATAAGGAGTTTTTTAAAGAGTATTAAGAATACACAAAATTTTGATTAGTTTGAAGGAATCTTAAAAGAGAAAAGAAACATCTTAAGAATTTAGGAACAAATGAAAATGCCTTTTAAAATGGCATCATTTGAACAAGTCACTGTGTATTATATGTCCAAATAAAATGCTAATCCATAAAATTGATTCTAATTTTTAACAACAAAATTGTAATCTAGTGTGGGTGGTAGGATTTTTTTTGTTTTTAAGAATTTGTGATAGATGTTGCAAGCTGAGAAACAGATATCTCAGGCCTTGGTTGTTTCCTCAACAAATTAAATTTTGTTATTTATGGGTATGGGCATATGTACTCTTGCAAATAAAGACATAGTAATGGACATAACAGAATTCAAGTGGAGTCAGTATTAACTTTCATATATTCCTTTGATATATTTTATCAAATGTATAAGTCTTACAAAATCTATATAGGAGACTTTTCAATTATATATTCAAGGCATTGCTTGGATCTTTTAAATATTCCACTCTTATAAAATACTGTATGTTCTTGATACTTTCTTCCTGTGTTCTTCCCTTATAAGGGGCATAAACAATCCCAAAAGTGTACATAAAGTATAAGTTATTTAGAATAGTTCTAGGAAGCAAGAAGATCCAGAAATGAAAATTACGTTGCATCGGCATGCAGTGTACTCACTGTGTGCTCACATTAATGCACTGCTTGTCAGCCTGTATTATAAATCTTAACGCACTGCCAGCCATTCTTCTTTAAACTTTCCAAAGTAAGCCATCAGGCAGTAAATTTACATACTGTAGAAAGAATGAATACTTAATAGTGGTTAAGATGCAGTGACATGTGGTGTCAAATCCAAGTAGGCTTCAAAGAAACCCCTCTAAACTGAAATGGAACACCAAAGTTTGTGGGCCTTTTCATTTCCTTAACTTACCTACATAAGAAATCCTGCATTCATTTCTCACTTTCTCAATTATTTTAACTTAGACTTCTAGGTCAGGGTTTCTCAAATGCAACACTTGATGGTTTAGGTTGGATAATTCTTTGTTGTAGGTCGTGGTTCTGTGCATTGTAGGATGTTTAGCAGCATCCTTGGCTTCTAACTAGTACATGCCTGTAGAAACCACCTCCCCCAGTTGTGACAACCAAAAATGTCTCTAGATACTGACAAATGATCCCTGGAAGGGCAAAATCACTTCTGCGTGACAACCATTACTCTAGGTTAGTGACAATGACAAGTTTTTTACATTTTTAGTAAAAGTCACCCTAGCACTATAAGAAGTAGCAAAAGGAACCAAATTAGCACTCTCAAATACCCTTTGTCTTTAATTATTCCAATACAGGGTTATTTCACATTGGTAGTCATGCTACTTTTTCCTGATTATTATACTTTCAGTAATAATTTTATTATGAATTTTACTGTTTTGGTCAGCTAAAATTATAGCCCAAACACAGCAGTAGTAAGTTAGGTTTTAACCACTAGTGGTTTTTGCATGGGATCAGGATACATTCTGTGATATAATCTGTCTCTAACCCTTTCTTACAAAAGATGCCCCAGTGGTCTCCCATACATACTTAATCAAGCTAATGTTTCATTTTGCTCAAGCAAACTCTCAGGAGTTTGAATGTTTATTGCAAAAGCCTGACCTCTCTGTACTTACGTAGGGCTTCGCTAATTTGTTGTATTCACTTTTTTCCTTCAGGCACAGGGGCAAAGCCAGGGTCAACCATCCTCAAGTAGCCTAACAGGGGTTCCATCTTCCCTGCCCATACAACATTCTCAGCAGGTGAGAACAACTAACTCATTGCTACATTTTATATATTAATAGTAACCAAAACACTGCTTAACATCTTTTCATGAATTAGATTCCTTACGTAAATAAATGGTTTGCCATGTTCTTGAAAGAAAAATCAAGAGGCATAACATTTGTGTCCAGTAACATTTTAGAAAATCTTCCCTTTTGTTTAATGTATTTTTAAATTATCTACTAAATTTAGGCATATGTTGAAATTCAAAAGAATCGTTAACTGATATTTATCTGCCTTCTTAAATACATGATTCTACACATAATCTAACAACACAAAGAATGTCAGTTTTCTTTTTATATTTGTGACTTATCCTTTTATGAGCATTTTGCTATTGCTTTCATTGTATTTGACTAATAATGCTATACTCCTTTTTAATTAATTTCTAATCTGTGAGGTGGGGTATCAGATTTTATGCTGAGAGAACTGAACAGCTACGTTAGGAACTTTTTAAACATTTTTAAACTTTGATTTGGGGAATTTATTCCTAAAGGTCCATAGAACTCAAAAGATTATAGTACAGTGCTAATGTATTCAACAGCAAAACTAGTAATTCTAAAATTAAACATGCGTAGTTCATTACTGATATTAGTTAATAGCAATTATTTGCATGGGAATAAGGCTTTTTTGACACTGTTGAATATTTTAGCTGTTTCAAATAAAATTGATAGCCACCACATTTGTCGTTAAAACTTCCTCATGAACTATTTCATTGACAGTTCCCTGCGAAGTGTTTTCCCAGCTACAAAGTCATAAATTGGTTTCTGTTTCTATTAATGTTTTATTGTATTGTATTGTATTGTATTTTTAATGTTTATTTAGTTTTGAGAGAGAGAACAAGAGACAGAGCATGAATAGGGGAAGGACAGAGAGAGGGAGGGAGACACAGAATCTGAAGCAAACTCCAGGCTCCAAGCTGTCAGCACAGAGCCCGACTCGGGGCTCGAACTCATGAACTATGAGATCATGACCTGAGCCGAAGTCAGATGCCTAACCAACAAAGCCACCCAGGCACCCCTCTATTAATTTTTTTAAACAAAGCTTTTAATTTTTATTATAGATGGTCTCCTTCCAGGCTAGCATGTAATCATATAGTCATTTGATACTAGTTTAAATTAGTTGTTCCTTGTACAGGATTAGTTTGGTTATATGTACATTTACTTGGTGACCAACAAACAGCCCTGTCTACAGAATTTAAAGGCTGGTAATCATATGCTTTGTCTTGCTCCTGCTTTTTCTTTCAGACAAGTAGATGAATCTGTATATAATTAGTTAAATTTGAGTAGTCACAATTTGCCAACCTTAACAAATTGTATTTTAGTTCTATTAACAACCTTTAATGAAAATATAAATTAAAAACTACATGAAGCTGTTTTGAGGGCAGAAGCGCTATCAGGTTCCACTCCTACTTTATCTTTGGACACAGGCCAACACCAATAAACCTGAGTAAATTTAAGTGCTTGCTCTGTTCTTCCTTCTCCAAAGGAATTTGTTATGTATATTATATGTGGGCATATAATATGTATACTTACTAGCAAATGAAGATAATGAAACACACCATTCAGTTTATTAGTAAGAAAAATATGTGGGGGTAAAGGGAAGACAGTTCCATAAATGGTCAGGTTAAAAGAATTTAGGTAGTTGACTCTTCTGTGAAAAACTGTAGCTAAATACAGCTGTAATACAATCAAAATTTATGTGTCAGTGATGCTTTTTGTAGATACTTTTGTGAATTATGTTACATAGAGGATGATATTTAAATAGAATCATAAAATTGGGCCCTCAAATTATATAAGTATATGCAGTCTAGAATACTTAATTTTTTCAGGGTCGCATAGCCAGTAAGTGGATAGAACTAAAAATTATAAGCCAGAATTCAACATTTCTAGAATAGGTTTTTTTTCTACATTAAAGTTCTGCAGGGACTTATGATTCTGGAGAGGTACTCAAGAATCTGCATTTATTTGTTTCAGCTACTGGGATTTCATTTTTTTTTTTTTTTTTTAAGGTTATAAGCTCTGTCTCTGTACTATATGGATGGAGTTTATTTTTAGATGTGAGTTTCAGATGTGAGTTTTAGATGTGAGTTTTTACTGTCGGTTTCCAACCCTACCTTCGGAAACCATATCTCTAATTTTATTAGAGTGAGAAGGGAAATGTCCTTTAGCTGAAATTTACTTTATTCCATGGGTTTCTGGACTGTAACCAATAAGGGATTGCTTTTTTCATGTTTTGATCAAGAGTCCCTTCTAGTGGTATGTGTATCTTAATGAGGTTCCAAAAATAGCTTCCTCCTACTAGAAAACTTAGTAGCTCTTTGCCATGTATTCCATAAACCACCTTACTTAATAATTTGTTACAGGGGCACCTGGGTGTCTCAGTCATTTAAGCATCTGACTCTTGATTTTGGCTCAGGTCATGATCCCATAGTCATGGGATCGAGCTCTGTCGGGTTCTGCACTGATTATGGAGCCTGCTTAAGATTCTTGCTCTCTCCCACTGCCCCTCTCCCCCACTCACACTCACTCTCTTATAGCTCAATAAATAAATAAGTAAAATAATAATAATAGAGCCAATAATAATTTTATATTTTATTTTATGATTAATTTTTATACTACTACTAATATTATTATTTCTTCTTATTATTATTTCTTCCATTGAATCTTCAGGTATTTCTTAACTTTGTGTTCAACTGAGGCTCATGAACATTTTTTCCATCAAGCACCCTTCCTTATTCAATAGATAGTACATAGTCTGTATAGGCTATTTGAACTGGTTTCATGAGGCAGGTTTATACAAAACATGTTTCCAAGTTGCTGTGCTAAACAATACCTATTTGGCTGAAGTGTTGTTTATTAGCCAGTGAGATTGTGCACAAAAAGATGACCATCTATTCCTGGCCTACCCAGGGGTGCCACTTCTCCCTAAATACTCTAAGGTATAATTGGCATATGTGCCTCTCACTCTTATTTTAAGCAGAGTGATGGTAAATGTCTATAAAACTGTTATTTCTCAACAGTTCTCTCTCTCTCTCTTTTACACACACACACACACACACACACGCGCGCGCGCGCACACACACATACCAGTAATTAAACAGATTTTTTTTCCTAACTGAGTTCATGCTCCCAAGGACCATGTGCTAGATAGGCACTGAGGGTCAAGATGGATCAGATATGACTACTTTGAAAGAGCCTAAGTAATCTAGTAAACATATATGTCAACTCCTACAAAACAGATAAGCGTAATAGTTAAGATTATATACAATGTGCAATGCATTTTACCTGTATTTTTATTTAATCCTTGTATGAACCCTGTAAGTATACTGTCATTATTTTCATTGTGCAGATGGGAGAGCTAAGGTAAGATCTGGAGAAGATGAGTAATTTATCCAAGCTTACACAGCTTATAAGAGGTAGAAACAGAATTTAAATCCAAGTAGTCTGACTCCACAACTCACCACTTAACTGCATTCCAGTTATGCCACCAAAGGAGAGAAATTGTATCTCTTTCAAGCAGGGAGGGGAATATCAAGAAGGCTTTATGAAAGAGATAGCATTTGAACTGAACTCTGATTGTGAGTTAAACTCATGTAAGAATAAAGAGTGTTCTAGGCCAAAGTGGCGGGGAAGTGGCTCACTATAAGCAAGGTAGAAAACAACAAAGATAGAAAACTGTGAGAACAGAAACCTTTAGTTCAGTCTAGCTAGAACACAAGTAAGTAAAGGTATATAGGTTCATTAAAAAAGTTGATTGAATCCACATCTTGATGTAAGCTTGGTTCTGCATTGATAGAAGTGAGAGAGAATTAAGCATATGCTCATCTGTAAAGTGGTATATTTTTTTCCTCAAACTTTTCCCTTTCTCTTAGTAAAGAAGGAAATCAACATATTGAAATTTTTATCATATTTGCACATTACGGGCTTTCACTCTCCTTTATTGTGAACAATAAGCAAAAAAATGTTAATGGAATAAAATAAAACTGGTGAAAACATGTGCTTGTAAGGACCTTAAAATAAGTATATGTAGTTGGAGATGTTTATAGACAACATCTGACAGAACTGGTTTTAAAATAAAAGCTAAGAAATTAAATATAGATTTGGTCCTTATTCTTAAGGTAGCAACTTCACTATTCCAGGTTCTATTGTCATTGTGAACAACTTATTCAAAGGTCACTGTAAGGAGGTAATACAAAGATTACATGAATATGAACCTATAAGTTATGACAAAAGCAAAAAAATCCAGCTGTCCTAATGCTATTTATGATGCTTGTCACTGAAAATTTTACACAACTTACAGGGAAAGTATTATACTATACTCCAGAAAACTAGAGCCTTTGTAGTATAGCTCCAGTGAAGATAAAGAGACTGGTTTATTATGTGGGAAGAGTTTGAATGAGGGAGGCGGAGCAATATTAATATATTATATTATATATAAGTTAATATATAATATATATTATATATATAATATATAAGTTAATATATGTAAGTAAATATATGTTAATATATTTATGTAAGTGTGCCATCTTATTTAGAGATGTAAATTAATGACTCAGATAATGGTAGACGTTTCAGTGTGAATTCCTTACAGTTAAAATATATTCAAGTTGACCAAAAAGAAACTCTAGTTTTTTATTCTCCTTTCTCGGTGAAAATATGGAAAATTATTTTATAATCAGAGTTTCCTTATATTTGGATATATATATCTTATTAGTTTTTGAAAATAAATGTTATGTAATCAGTAGCCAGTTGTTCCTGATTTAAGTTAAAATAAGAATACATTATCAGAAACAAGAAAAAAACAAACACTACTATTGTCATCATTGTGTGTCAGCATTTTGGGGGGTGATTTTAATTGATACAGTGAGAGCAAAGTAAGAAATAAGTATCAGGAGAACAAAAATATTTACAGATTATCACCTAACAAAATCTAGGATGTTCATTAAGGTGGTCAGGATCATAATATATATAAAACAAATAAAAATAAGTAAGTCTTGGGAATGCAGTGTGTAGCATAGTGATTACAATTGCTATGGTATTGTACATTTGAAAGTTACTAAAAGAGTAGGTCTTAAAATTTAAAAGTTCTCATTACAAGAAAAAAACTGTAACTGTGTGGTGATAGATGTTAAGTAGGTTTCTTCTGGTGATCATTTCACAACATACACCTATATTAAATCATTATATGTCAGTTAAATCTCAAGTTTTTATGTATACATATACTTATAAACAAATAGTATTATCTTTTTACCAGCAGTATCTAGTTAGTTGTATAGACCAGGACATATGTAAAGCCTACTGGTTGTAGCATTATTTTAAGTATCAAAAAAAATCAACCAAAATGTTCATCATTAGGATATTGATGCCATTGATAAGTTAAATGAAAATAGCATGTTAGAGAACTGTATTTATAGAATGAACATGCTTTTATTTCAATATGTAATTGTGTGTAAATGACCAGTTATATATAGAAAAAAATCCATAAAGGTGATGACCAAACCATTGATAGTGGTTGCCTCTAGAGAAACGGGGTTAGGATATTTCATTTAACTTAACGATCTGATACGTTGGTTAAAAATTTTTATTACAAGCAGCTGTTGTTTTGTGTTAACCAAAACAATTTTAAATTACTTAGAGACATTAGAGAGTCTAGAAAGTCATTTGTGAAGTTCAGATTTTTGTTAGGCCAGAGGGGGCCATTAACTTATTACAAAATTTAGTATTGGGAGTACAATTATGTACCATACATTAAGTTTAGATGTATTAAACCAGAATGCCTAACACGTGGTTGATTCCTAAATGTCACTTATTCCTTTGCCCTGCTTTGAATTGAGTGATTGTGTCCTTGTTTTCAAAGAAGGAAGTATCTTTTTGGCAGTAAAATGAGCAGTCTCTAAGGTATTACAACTAGTAAATGGTAGAGCTAAAATTCCACATTCAGTGTTTTTCTATTTTGTGGCTGTAATCAGAGCTATTCTTCAAGCAAATTAATTACACGGTTGCAAAAATACAATGAGAGAAAGAGCTTAAAGGGAAGAGATTGGATTTGCTTAATATAGGACCAAAGTAAGAACAGATATTAAAAAAATGGGAAAAACCAGAAGGAGATATTAGAGGAGAGAGGACCTATTTGGATATGTTATCTAAAGATCTTTATGAATGACCTACTGTTGGGGTAAGGGGGATGATAGGTGAAGAACCAGTAGTGACTCAAATTCTGAAACATTGGTTAATTGCTCTTCGTGGTACCATCACAAATAAAGAACACCAGAGGAAAAAGAAATAAATGTGTGAAGGGGAATTGATGAATTTGGGTTTGTGTATGTCTTGATTACTAATATTGTCATTTATAGATACAGAAGGCTTTAAGCAAACGTACTTCCTTAGAATCATGCTATTAATGACTTGAAACAAAACTGAATAATTAGGGGCGCCTGGGTGGCGCAGTCGGTTAAGCGTCCGACTTCAGCCAGGTCACGATCTCGCGGTCCGTGAGTTCAAGCCCCGCGTCGGGCTCTGGGCTGATGGCTCAGAGCCTGGAGCCTGTTTCCGATTCTGTGTCTCCCTCTCTCTCTGCCCCTCCCCTGTTCATGCTCTGTCTCTCTCTGTCCCAAAAATAAATAAACGTTGAAAAAAAAATTAAAAAAAAAAAAAACTGAATAATTATACTTTATTTTCAGCAGCAGGGAGTACAGCAGACTGCCCCTCCTCAACAGACAGTGCAGTATTCACTTCCACAGACATCAACCTCCAGTGAGGCCACTACTGCACAGCCAGTCAGTCAGTCTCAGACTCCACAGGTCTTGCCTCAAGTATCATCTGGAAAACAGGTAGCTCTTCATTTCTAAATAGATGCTAAATGGAATCTCCATGTAACTTGTATTTTCTCATGGATAGGCTTCTCTCTTCTCTAATGTTGAAATACCAAAGTTGGTTATTTTCACCACAAAAATGAATTGACAATTGTTCCTTTTGTGCACATGAATTAGTTAATGTAAATAGGTACATACTGACAGCATTCACAATCCAAAAATGCTTAACTTTTAGGTTTATCAGTCTGAAGTCAGTTGGACAAGTATTAGAACTGGTGGGTTAAGTAACAGTGCTTTGGTAACTGAACCTATGACATTTTCTAGAATTGAGTTAGCTATATCTAATTATTCTAGGTTTACAACTATGCTGTATTTTTCATGCAGATTTATGCATTTTTTTCCTCTTTCATTGCCTACTGACAGTAAGTCATAAAAACCCCTTATATGGAATCATGTTCTGTTGTTCTGAGTCTTCCTTTGAATCACTTGAAAAGTGCCCTTTTGAAGGTATATTCTACTGGATGACCTATTTTAAACTTTAACGTTGGGGCTTGTTGTCCTTGTATTTTGGCACAATGTATTGTTTCTGTCGTATTTCATCGCATCTGAGATACTGTCAGTTGTCAAATGCACCATTATGTTATGTAACCAAGTACTGACACACCATTAATTGTAAGATACATCTTAGTTTCACAAAGGTTAAAATGACCAGGTGGTAGAGAGGGATGATTCCATCCTAGAGTCAGTGAAATATGGTACTCATACCTACTTTCATTGGCCAGTGTTAGACTTAAGAATTGTAGAAGCAAAAAATAAAAATAAAAAAAATAAAGAATTGTAGAAGCAATACAGATTGAAATCTAATTCCAGTAAGAAAGAATTTCATTTGAATTTCAGTAACTACTATAATAGCAGTCATAGATGTAGTGACAACAAATATACCAATGGATTAGGGTATGTGAAATATGTCTAAATAGAGCTGTAAAAAAACAAACTCTGCTTTCGGAAGTGTCTTCTTTTATTGTCGAACGATGAAACATTAGTAAAATTTCCTACAACAAAAGATTTGAAACAGCCGGTCTGTCAGCCTCTCTGTCTCCTGTTATCCTTTCCCTGTTCTTGTGTGGCACATTAACTTAAACTAATGTATGCAGGTTTGGGTTTTTGGGGTTTTTTTTCCTTCTTTTTGGCTAACACATAAATCTTGCTTTTGGCAGCCTTGCTTTTTTCTTTTCTTTTCTTTTCTTTTTTTTTTTAAGTCTGTCTGTTTTGTTTTTCTTTACCTTCCCAGCTTCCAGTTTCCCAGCCAGTACCAGCTATCCAAGGCGAACCTCAGATCCCAGTTGCGACACAACCCTCAGTTGTTCCAGTCCACTCTGGTGCTCATTTCCTCCCTCTGGGACAGCCACTCTCTACTTCCTTACACCCCCAGTATCCTGTCTCTCAAATTCCCATATCAACTCCTCATGTGTCTACGGCTCAGACAGGTTTCTCATCCCTTCCCGTTACAATGGCAGCTGGCGTTAATCAGCCTCTGCTCACCTTGGCCTCATCTGCTACGGCAGCTGCGATCCCAGGGGGACCAACTGCGGTTCCTAGTCAGCTTCCAACCCTTCTGCAGCCTGTGACTCAGCTGCCAAGTCAGGTTCACCCACAGCTCCTGCAACCAGCAGTTCAGTCCATGGGAATACCAGCTAACCTTGGACAAGCTGCTGAGGTTCCACTTCCCTCTGGAGATGTTCTATACCAGGTATTGTTTTGGCTAGCAAAAAGGAGGGCACCAGAGGGTTTGGTTCTAATAGTAAACCATCAAGGACTTGAAAACCTAGTAGTTGAGTGTCAAAATAACTAGCAGTAACAAAAGTGTAGCTGATCTCAACTAGAGAAGCTAATACAGTAAAATTCAGAGAAAAGATAGGATAGTAATGTTGAATGATTCATTTCCATTTTTCTCAAGACACTTCCTTGGAGGAAGATGGTTCTCTCAATATTTGATGTAAGCTGACTAAATGCTAGATATGGCTAATAAGAGAGTAAGTACATCAGGCTACTTTTTTTTTTATAGGTAAGGTAAATAGAGTTGCCAACATGGTACCAATAAAAAGCTTCAGATTAGCCTGTCTTGATATGACTAGAATGATTACCTTGAAGAGTTTTTGCATTCTCCCACTTTAGATTGGCTAGAAAACTGATATTTTTCTAGAAGGAATTAGTTTGTTCCTCCTATTTAAATCTGAAAGAGGAGAAAAACCAGTAATTTAAAGTGTAGTTGTAGAGTCCCGTCCCCTAAATTGAAACCAGTATACCATTTCATTTCAAGAATCATCTTTAAATCTTCTTTAAATTATTAGAAAGAGATGAGACTACTACTATTCTTCTTTACTATGTGCTTTCGTTTTTTGTTGGGTTTTTTTGTTGGCTTGTTTGGTTGGTTGGTTGGTTTTTTGTGCATGTCTTGCTGTTTTGCTAATTTGATGTCCCAACCTACACTAACTCACCTTCCTCATTTCTGTCACAGGGCTTCCCACCTCGACTGCCACCACAATACCCAGGAGATTCAAATATTGCTCCCACTTCCAGCGTGGCTTCTATTTGCATCCCTTCTACAGTCCTATCCCCTCCCATGCCGACAGAAGCACTGGCTACACCGGGTTACTTTCCTACAGTGGTGCAGCCTTTTGTGGAATCAAACCTTTTGGTTCCTGTGGGCAGTATAGGAGGACAGGTTCAAGTGTCTCAGCCAGCAGTGAGTTTAGCACAACAAACCCCCACTACATCCTCCCAGCAAGCAGCTCTGGAGGTAAATGGAATTACTGCATGTTTATATATAAAACACACACACACACACACACACACACACACACACACACACACACACACACACACACACACACACACACACACACACACACACACAATGGGATAAAAATGACAAAGAAGAAACATAAGGTTCCCCTGTTTAGAACTCATGTGGAGACTATTTTCAAACTAACTTCTAAATGACTTTTTCTTCCAGCAGAATGAAATGCCATTGTGGGGGCCTTGTTGCCACTGGCTGTTCTGTTGGGAAGTGAGTGTGCCTTGGAGAAGATTAACCCTATTAGCACTTCACTTCTCTAGCTAGTACTTTAGTCATTATTCTTAATCCTTTCACAAATTCTTGCCATGGCAGTCATAAAAGTATCTTATCCTGCTGTGCTCCCAGTAATCATTTTTACCCTATTAGGAGAAAGATAGGAATCATCTTTGCACTTTGCTCTGCCTGTCCTGTTGCACACTTCTAGGAAGATGCTGGCTGCATGCAAGTTGTACTTTCTCACTCCCTAGCAGCTATGTCGGCTGATGTCACACCATGCAGTCTATACCGAGACTTAGCTTTAGAAACTTCCTTTGGAATTTTAAGACCACTGTCTTTAGATGCTGAATATTGAGAATTACTAGTAAATTTAGTGCTTCTAGGACTTGGGGGGGATAAGAAAAAAAAAGTGTAGCTTATTGGAGATGATGAATAATAAATAAAATGTATTACTGCCAAGACTTCCATTATCCTTTCTATTTACAGAGTACTCAGGGAGTCTCTCAAGTTGCTCCTCCAGAGCCACTTCCAGTGGCACAGGCACAACCTACCACTTTGGTCTCTTCTATAGACAGGTATGTAAAAGTAAAATTCTCCTTCCTTAACTGGTAAGTGGTATAAAACTCCAAAACATCAAACCTTTAAACACTGAACTTTATTTTTCGAAGTGCACATTCAGATGTTGCTTCAGGAATGAGTGATGGCAATGAGAATGTCCCATCATCCAGTGGAAGGCATGAAGGGAGAACTACAAAACGGCATTATCGAAAATCTGTAAGAAGTCGCTCTCGTCATGAAAAGTCCTCACGTCCAAAATTGAGAATTTTGAATGTAAGTATTGCTACTGTGTGAGTTTCATATAGTTACTTAATGTCATTTAAATATTTCTAAGGCTCAGGTATAGTTATGAAAGTTTAGAATTTTCTAATCACCCAAATAATACTGTTAAATTCCATATTTTTATGGTAAGGCACTATCTACCTTTTAGAAAAAGTTTTAATTTGTAGAACAGAGACTTTACACTCCTTCCAGACCCTTCAGTGGAAGATGAGGAAATAGCTCAAAGGCCAATATTTTCTTAACGTTTTCTTGCTACCAGTTTAAGAGGTAATACCAACAAGTCTTCAGGGAATGGTGGTGGCATCAGGCTTAAGTTCAAGTGATAATCTGCATTACTTTCTCAAATTTACTAATGGAATAATATGTAATATGGCTTCTGAGATATGAAGTACTTTTTCTTTTTTTTTCTTTTTAGGTTTCAAATAAAGGGGACCGGGTAGTAGAATGTCAGTTAGAGACTCATAATCGGAAAATGGTTACATTCAAATTCGATTTAGATGGTGACAATCCTGAGGAGATAGCAACAATTATGGTATGTCTGCATTTGGAGTTCCAAATTTTGCTTTAGTACTTTTTTAATAACCACTGCCCTAAGCAAATGTGCAATATTTTGTTACCTGTTTTGACAGTTCTGTATTTATTTCAGCGTGAATATAATTAGCACACCAAACCTGTGATTTAGAGATATTTTTGTCTAGGACCTGTCTAAGTGTTGAAGAATTAACTTACATATCAATGAATAATAGTACAGGTGGTGTGCAGATAGGGCAGAAGTTACAAAAGTGGCAATTGGAATGACTTAAAACATGAATAACACTCTACTAATCAGACTGACATCACATTTCTTTTACAGGTGAACAATGACTTTATCTTAGCAATAGAGAGAGAGTCCTTTGTGGATCAAGTACGAGAAATTATTGAAAAAGCTGATGAAATGCTCAGCGAGGACGTCAGTGTGGAACCAGAGGGTGACCAGGGATTGGAGAGTCTACAGGGAAAGGATGACTATGGCTTTGCAGGTTCTCAAGTAAGTTCAGCATTCCCATAGTGAAGCTTTGTTTATTTAAAATATTGCTATAGTGTTAAATTTGCCATGCAACATGTTCAATGATACCATATTACATCAATGGCTAAAATTATCAAATATTTATGTCCTCTTTGCATGGGGCCAATTGCTTTGCCCAATCTTTAAGATTGTGTTTAGGGGTGGTGGGGGGAAAGATTGTGTATGAGAATGAATTTGGTCACTTTTGTTTGTTGTAGAAATTGGAAGGAGAATTCAAACAACCAATTCCTGCATCTTCTATGCCACAGCAAATAGGTGAATTTCTTTCCTTTCCATGTTTGCTTTTAGCTTTGACCTAAGAAATTTTATACTAATGAAATCTTAAAGCTTCATGTTGGTGACAATATATAGATAATGCAGTTAAATGGTTTCTTTTTACAGGCATTCCTACCAGTTCTTTAACTCAAGTTGTTCATTCTGCTGGAAGACGGTTTATAGTGAGTCCTGTGCCAGAAAGCCGATTACGAGAATCAAAACTTTTCACTGGTGAAATATCAGATACGGGTAAGGAATTGCTTCTACCACAAACCTCTATCAATCCCATATCATCTCTGCTATATTGGAAGCTTGGTCATCAAGCAGTAATTCAAATGATGACATAGACAATAAAGAAGAGTAGAAAATTGAGATTATAATCAACAGGCAAACATGGAGGAGCAAAATAGAGGATGAATAGAGAGGATTAAAGAACAAGAGCCAGAAAGGACAGCCACCCTAGATACAGCTTGTGTAATAAATAATACGTAGATACAGTAATATGTTTTGTTTCTCCCTTTAGGACTATTGTATATGCTTTGAGGTTGCTCTTTTTTTATCTTTTTTCTCTTTTTTGAAAATTTTTTTAAATTTTCTTTTACCCTCGAAATAGATATTCATACAAGCTAACTTATTTTCATCAAACTGCTCTTTTACTCTGCTGTTTTAGAAAAAGCCTGTCATTTCCTCAGGAGAAGTTTTAAACCTTCTTGGTATGTGGCAGTGTTGGTAACCCAAAAACAGATTGTTAGGACAATTTTGAATCTACCCTTTTAAAATAGACTGATTATGAATTTTGTATTCTCCTTTGCAGTTGCTGCCTCAACATCCCATGGCGCTGGAATGAACTTGTCTCATTCTGCTTCATCCCTTAGCCTACAACAGGCGTTTTCTGAACTCAGACATGCCCAAATGACAGAAGGGCCCAATACAGCACCTCCCAACTTCAGTCATACAGGACCAACATTTCCAGTAGTACCTCCTTCCATGAGTAGCATTGCTGCAGTCCCAACCACAGCAGCAGCCACACCTTCAATATCAGCCCCTGCAACTAGCAGCCCTCTTAATGACATGTCCACATCAGTAATTCAGTCTGAGATTCCAGTGCCCACTGAAAAAGGGATTGGTGGAGTTGCCACCTGCACAGGTGTGATACCGTCAAGTGGTCTCCCTGTACCTCCTGTATCTGAATCACCAGTATTTTCCACTGTGGTTTCAAGCGTTACAGTACCTACAGTTGTCTCAATATCAACAACATCCCAGCCAGTTCAGGCTTCTACATCTGGGAGTGTTGTTTCTAGTATAGGCACTTTGCCATCTATACCAGTTTCAACGTTAGCCTCTGCTGCGGGCAGTGCTGCTGTCTCAGGTGCTAAGCCTCCACCTGTAGTATCTCAACAAGCGACAGGCAGTACTTCTGGGGTAGCCACGTTAACATCCATTGCTGCCACCACTCCATTCCCGAGCATAGCTTCCCAGCTGCCTCTTCAGCTGAGCAGCAGCACCTCTGCTCCTACTCTAGCTGAAACAGTGGTGGTTAGTGCACACTCACTAGATAAAACATCTCATAGCAGTACAACTGGATTGGCTTTGTCCCTGTCTGCATCATCATCTTCCTCCCCTGGAGCAGGATTATCTAGTTCTGTTTCTCAGCCTGGTGGGGTGCATCCTTTGGTCACCCCATCAGCTATAGCTTCTACTCCTGTCCTTCCTCAAGCAGCAGGACCTACTTCTACACCTTTATTACCCCAAGTACCTAGTATCCCACCTTTGGTACAACCTGTTGCCAGTGTGCCTGCTGTGCAGCAGACACTAATTCATAGTCAGCCTCAACCAGCTTTACTTCCCAACCAGCCCCACACTCACTGTCCTGAAATAGATGCTGACTCACAGCCCAAGGCTCCTGGAATTGATGACATAAAGACTCTAGAGGAAAAGCTGCGGTCTCTCTTTAGTGAACACAGCTCATCTGGAGCCCAACATGCATCTGTCTCACTGGAGACATCACTGGTAGTAGAGACCACTGTCGCACCAGGCATCCCAACCACTGCTGTTGCACCAAGCAAGCTCATGACTTCTACTACAAGTACATGCTTACCACCAACAAGTTTGCCATTAGGGACAACTGGTTTGTCAGTTATACCAGTGGTCACACCGGGACAAGTTTCCACCCCAGTCAGCTATGTGTCCGCCCCAGTCAGCACTACATCAGGAGTGAAAGCTGGAACTGCTCCATCAAAGCCACCTTTAACTAAAGCTCCAGTAAGATTCTTGTTTTGAAATAATTTGATAAATATGATTATTCTTTCCCCCAACCCCGTAAGTGCCTTTTTTCAACTCAGCCTTGCAAATTAGAAATGTGGTTATAAAGCTGGCCTGGCCTATAGTAGACATTAAGTGTTTATTAAATAAATTGAAAATTATTTTAGGATATATATACATTGAACACAAGAGACCTCCTTTTTTTGGAATATGGCAAGATTTGGGGGTTAATTATATTACATGATTTTCTAAGGCTATATAATAATCAGGTAAAATACAGACGTTCCTTCCTCATTGGCACCAGCTAAAGAAATCTGTATCCCAAAAGGAAGCTAAATGCTTCTGCTAGCAATTATACATAGTAATAGCAATTTACAATGATCTTTGTTTCAGTGAGAATGAAGCAGATTTTCTGCTTTGCTTCAGTTCCACAGGTGTACAATTTGGGGTGTACAAAAACTGGAAGTTGGTGATGAATTTCATATACAGGGAAAAAGAATCTAATCCTAGGAATAAGTTAACTAAAATGTGTTTTCTAATTCCGCTATGGTGGATTTCCTCTCATTCTCTCTTCAGTCTCTCTGATCTTCTCCAAATAACAAGGCTGTGTTTTTTCTACTATATTCTGTGCTTCACTTATCTTTCTGCATTGCCATTGATTGTAAAATTCTTTTTATAGTCGGCCAGTAATAGAGGCTCTGTACAAATTGCTTTATAGTGTTAGATTTCTGATGACTTTTGTTATCATACCTGCCCCTTGGTTATTTCTGAATTGTTTTCTCGGAGAAGTCTTTGTTTTAGGAAAAGCCTGATGATACTGTACTAAAACAGTGGCTCAAGAATAACTGTGCCTCTCATGTCCATACAGCCTTTGATTCTGTTTTCCCTAGGGAATAACCTTCCACTAAATTTTACTATTCATTTTATTGGTATGTAGTAGTAACCCCATAATAGTATCATGGTTATAATGTCCTTTATTTAAGATAGATACCAGAACATAAGCCAGATGACAATCATGCCTTAACTATAGATATATTTTATTCTTATATTTCTGCATTTGAATTAGTTGATTTACTGGCCAGTATGTAGTCTTTCTCATGGACTTGAATTTCCCTTCATTGTCTGTAGGTGCTGCCAGTGGGTACTGAACTTCCAGCTGGTACTCCACCCAGCGAGCAGCTGCCACCTTTTCCAGGACCTTCACTAACTCAGGTGCCCCAAGACTTGGCAGATTTCTTTTTGTGCTCCTACTTTTTCCTTCACAAAGCTTATTTAAATTCTCCATTGCATGATCTTGGCTTCTGGCTCCTCTTTAGTTTTGACTTAGTAACAACTTTCTCTTAAAACAGTGTATATAGCTAATGATCCAGGCCTTATTTAAAGTAAGAAGCTTCGTGGTTCTTTTGTTCAAGTCATCTAGAACACATTTGATATTAATATTTTTTCATATTTTATGAAGAAAGAAAATAGCAGGGTTTACATGTTACCAGACAAATATAACTCCTGTCATTCACAGTTTTCTAGAATAGTGAAATTGCATCTGATGAATGAGATTAGGCTCTAGACCATTGTGGAAGTAAAAAATTACAAGTAATCAGAATTAACTTTGAAAGTTCCTTAGGAAAAGATAACTGATAATGCCCCTTTTCTGTGAGTTCAGTCAACCAGTTTTTTCTCTAATGTTTGACATTTCTTTCAGTGACCAACAAATAAAGTAATTGGCTTAAATATAGATGGATATAAGGGTCATGTTTCATGAAAAATATGTCTTTTATCTTTCAATACAAAACCTACACAGTTTAGTTAGCATGAGATTACTCATACAGGAACTGAGAGCAGTGACATGAATGTGAGATTCCTGTTTCACACTCAGATCTGCTCATTGGGTCTACCCAATAGTGATCAGAATTGCCTGCAATATTTAAATTATCATTTCCCTTTTCTACCCTACCCCACCACCCCACACATTTAGTTGAAGTCCCGTAAGGAAAGTAGTTATTATGAAGCCATTATAACCATGAAAAAGCTTCTGCCGTGAGCAAAGTAGTAAACATTGAAACTAAAACAGGAATTTATTTTAGAATTATATAGAAGAAAAACATAAATTGCTAACACAAGAAGTCTGAATTTATCACTTCTACAGCTGTACAGTAGAATATAAAGAACTTGCCATGATAGAGTAGTAACTCCAAAGAGAACTCACTCCATCAGTCACCACATTTTGGAAAAAATACATTGTGAAAGTCTGTAAGTTAGGGGTTTTACACCTGTTTTCTCATTAAAAACATGTATTCAGACACGTATTCAGGCTCAAATGTGATGAGAAACAGCAAATAAGATGTGAGGAGGTGAGGTTTAGTGGATAATGCCTATATAGAGAGGGAGTAGGATAAATGAAGGCTGTAGAAGAATAAGTGATAGAAGCCAAAATAGATGTGGGATTATGGCCTGTATCAAAAGTAAAAAGTTACGGGCCTTGTGATGAATGGTGGTAAGACCTGGTTAACAGGTTGGAATGCCCAGACCTCCAGTTCCTTTTTGCTGCCATTTATAGGGTATAAGAAGTATAGATTAAGACCTAAAGAAAAGAATAATATCCTTGATAGTGATCAAATACATTAATGCCATCTTTTATTCATAAGGACAAGTTCTCAGAAAGATGTACCAAACTGAAAAAGAAAAAAGAAAAAAATTAATCTACCAAAATATCTTGATACATTTTTCAGAATATATATATTTTAAGTTTATTTACTAGCAGGGTGAGAGGCAGAGAGAGAAAGGAAGAGAGAGAATCCCAAGCAGGTTCTGTGCTATCAGTGCAGAGCATAATGTGGGGCTCAGTCTCATGACCCATCAGATCATGACCTTAGCTGTAATCAAGAGTCAGATACTTAACCAACTGAGTCCCCCAGGCACCCCCAGAATATATTTTTAAAGAGAGGACAGGTAGAAACTTTTGTATCACTTTAAGGAACATCAAACATAGACTTCAAAACTGTAAAAACATAAATATGACTGAATTTCTCTAAGGCTTGGGAAATTGACATATCAGTCAAGCAATATAAGTTAATATTTAATATATTGAGTTTTATATTCAGTGACTAGACAGATGTTACATTGTGTCAGTGTAAAGCATCAAAGAGTATTCCTTATTTAGATGAGCTATATGTAGTGCTTCTGAATATGCCAAAGACCTCTACTTATTGTAGTTGTTTCGTTCAGTCCCAGCAACCTCTGGAAGATCTTGATGCTCAATTGAGAAGAACACTTAGTCCAGAGACTGTTGTGGGGACATCTACAGTTGGGGTAAGTTTTGAAAATTTTGCCAAAATCTTTCCATAATCCTAATATATCACATTCCTAAAACATACTCTAACCTATTAATACCTTTAACACCTACAGAGTTAAAAGCATTAATTCAGAGTCTTTGCTTATTCCAGCAAACAGAAAAAGCAGATTAAGATTAACACTGACCCAGTGGTATAACTGTGGAAAATATTTTATTGATTTGAAAGGTACTTTTCTTGTCTTGCCTCTGGTTAGAATTATACCATAGATGAATTCTATGAGTTTTGTATTTATGCTTTGGAGGAAGCTGTGCTTTAAAAGTTAACTTCTTCCTTTTAAGCTTGTGATACAATAATGTTCTGATTAAAACTATTTTTTCTATTATTATCCAAGTTATACTCTTAAGTATCCCATGAGAAAAACAGACAACAATATAGAAGCAACTCAGAATTTTTTCTTAAAATTTTTGTTTTTGTTTTTTTTTTACATCAGACTTACTTTTAGGCTTAAAAAAAAAAAAGAAAACTCTGTTGGACACAAGTGTTTCTTCACCTATACTATATTTCTTTTGCCCTTTATAAAAACCAGAGGAAAGGCAGCATGGCAACAGTTTAAGAGTGACTGAAGCTAAAGATTTTGTGGTATCTGTGTGTATGTGTTTTGCAGCCTGTGTCCATGGTGGCTCAAGCAGCAGTTACAGAAGCAGGAACACCGCCTCAGAAGGATGGTGAGAAGCATCCTTCTTCCTCTTATGTTATACCATTTCCAGTCCTCTTTATAATTGATTATAGAGTTTACTATCTCAAAGACATTCTTAAGAATGTAGGTGTATTTGAAACAGTTTTAAAGAACAACTTTAGGGGCGCCTGGGTGGCGCAGTCGGTTGAGCGTCCGACTTCAGCCAGGTCACGATCTCGCACTCCGTGAGTTCGAGCCCCGCGTCGGGCTCTGGGCTGATGGCTCGGAGCCTGGAGCCTGTTTCCGATTCTGTGTCTCCCTCTCTCTCTGCCCCTCCCCCGTTCATGCTCTGTCTCTCTCTGTCCCAAAAATAAATAAACGTTGAAAAAAAAAATTTAAAAAAATAAATAAATAAATAAATAAATAAATAAAGAACAATTTTACATATGTCATAACTTAGGAACTTTAATACTAATATTTGGAACATGTAATATTAGCATGCAAAAGGTAATGATAGTTTCTCGGAATAAGACCCTTTGTTATTAGCTAGGATAGACCCTTGCTAAGAGAGAGAAGGAAATTCAGGCCTATTTATAAAAGTTAATTTACCTTAATCTCTTGGCTTTTATGACACTAGATAGATAGAGGTAGAGATAAGCTTGACTAGCATAGATGGTAGAAATACAAATATATATTGTAATCCGTTTAAACGTTATTTTTTTTCCATTTCTGGAGTCTTTAGAATTGGCGTGTTTGTACACAGTCTCTTGGCAAAGCATATTTCCAGATTTTGTAACAACTTAAAATTGCCATGAGAACTTTTATGAGCATGCTCTTGGTCGTGAGTTCATATCAGCTACTTCTTTTCTGAATTTTGTTGTAAATCTCTTTTCACTGCATCACCAGTCCCCCAACAAAGTAGGAAATTTAAAACTTCTATTTGCTGTCACCTTTTCTCTTAGAACCATTTATATTCAAAAGGGAAAATAATTAAACATGAGCTGTATTTATTCAGTGTGCTTTTGTGTAACAATATTGTTCCTTTTGTAGTTTATCCATTCTCCTCACTACCACCTACATATGTTTCCCTGTATAACTATTAATAAGATTACCTGAATACTCAAATCTTTTCTTTCTTCCTTAAATTCTGAATTTCACTTAAAACCTCTCTAAATTATCTTCAAGGCAATTATATTCTGAATCCACTCTCATTTTAAAAGAAGTGACTTGAAAATCAATGGAGGGGCACCTGGGTGGCTTAGTTGGTTAGTGTCTGATTTCGGCTCAGGTCATGATCTCACAGTTCATGAGTTCAAGCTCCGCATCGGGCTCTCTGCTTTCATTGAAAAGCCATTTTGGATCCTCTTGTCTCTCTCTGTCTCTGTCCTTCCCCCGCTCATGTGCATGCCCTCCCCACCCACCAAAAAATAAATAAACATTAAAAAAAAAAATCATTGGAACAGACTAGAGAAGTTTAGAAATGGACAAACTATAAAGAAGAAATATGAAAAAGGTGGGCTTTTAAATCAGTGAGAAAATGCTAGGATATTTCAATAAATGCTTTGTGACAACTGGACAACCATCTGGAAGAAAGCTTAGATGCCAGCCTTGACCAACATAAATTCCACATGGGTCAAAGATGAAAAATGATAATGTAAAATAGTGCTGTAACAAAACATACAAGAAATCTTTTTCTTTTCTTTTTTTTTTTTTTTTTAACTGTCTGAAGTAGGATCAACAAACTTTCTGTAAAAGGCCAGAAAGTTGTATATTTCAGGCTTTGCTGGCCATATAGTCTCTGTCACAATTACTCGAATCTCCTATTGTAACCCAAAAACAGCATAGGCCATACGTGAATGAATGAGTTTGGCTCTGTAGTCTAATAAAATTTATTTACAGAAACAAGCTGTGGGCTGAATTTGGTCCATGATCATAGTTTGCTGATCCCTGATACAGAAGCAATAATAGATTCAAAACTTTCTGCATGGAAAAAAAAAGCCATGATGTCCAAAGATAAATGAAAAACTGGGCAGTGGTGGGTATTCATATCACAGAAAAGACTAGTAAGTGATAGCATTTCTGAACCTCTCATTGGTAAACTTAGAAGTTTAATAGCCACCAGTGACTTAACACAACCTCTTTAGAGATCAATTTAGTAATGTCTCTCCAAGTTTTAAATGGGTATGATTCAGCACATCCATTCTTAGGTATTCCACAGATTCATAAGAAAATACTTGGTAGAACACTTATAATAGCAAGAAGTTCTGAAAAACTTAAATGTCCATCCACAGAAGCCTGTTTAAAATATGGTACTTTGTATACATATAGCATACATACAGACAGACATAAAACACTGCAGCCATTAAAAAGAATGAGAAATCAATATGGAATGCTAAGATACATTGTAAAAATATCAAAATCAGTGTTGTATAAAATTGAGCTTACTAGTTGTATAAAATAAAGAAAATGCTTGTATATGTCTATATTATCTCTAGGAAAAAAACCTCAAGTGGTTGTCCTTAGAAAGGATGACCTAGGTGGCTTGAAAGTTGTTCAAAACTATTTATCAGTGATTCTGACACCTTGTACTTCCTGTTCTAAGATTTTTGCCTAAGTGTTGTATAAACCAAGTTGTCATAGATGATTTTCATTTTAAAAATGCGTCTTTGATACCCTAAGTAAAATCTCATAATTCTCTTCATTTACTTTTATCTTTGAGTTAAAGAATGAGTAATTGAATTCTTGCTACCCATTAACCTTAGTTTTTATAGTATCTCTTATGTTGTAGTTAAGCCTTGAAGCTGCTTTGCTTATATGTAACTTTTATTCCTCCAAACAATAACATATCATCTGTACATGTGTACAAGGAAAAGTAGAGGACTAATGATAAATTTTCAGACTTTGACAGTATTTCACAAACAGTATCTTAAAGACTAAAGGTATCTAGTAAGGAGAGTAAATAATAACTATTTTCCTTTTTGGACAAAGCCCAAGGAGAAAAGAAGGTAAGGAAATTTTCCTTGCCTCAGACCATTTTTCTCACCTCATAGGTACTTTTATTTTGCTGTATTTCTGACCAAAAGGAAAAGAAGCTAACTAAAACGAGATGCTAACTTAAGTTCTTTTTCTCCTCCATGTACTTGTTTCAGTTTCTCAAATCACAGAAGGTCCTGTCCTAGGAACTAGTTCAGGAACTGGTGTTTTTAAGATGGGACGATTCCAGGTAAGACCATTACTTTCCCTTGCCTTGATATCCTCTTTGGGGTGAATAGGTATATAATAAAATTATTACTTACCTTTGGGACACAATTGCCAATTTGATGATATATATCTTTTTTATAGTTCTTTATCATTTTATCCTCTTAAAAATAATACATGTTTAAAAAAAAAAAAACCTTCTGGGGCACCTGGCTGGCTCAGCCAGAAGAGCATGTATGTGACTCTTGATCTTGGGGTCATGAATGTGAGCCCCACATTGGATGTAGAGATTGCTAGAAATAAATATGTAAACTTTAAAAAATAATAATAATACATGCCAATTAAAGGAATGCAGAATACTTAGTACAGTAGAGAAACAGTATACTGTCTACCCCATCTTCCTACCTACCTCCTCCACCCAGGATTACTTTTTAGGGTGTGTTTCCCCTCATTCCTTTTTCTATGTACATGTGTGTACAATTGACCCTGCTTTTCTGAATGAGATTTTATAGCTTTTTTTCCCAATCTAGTAGTTGGTTCACCTAACCCATTCTCCTATTATTAGTCATTAGGTTGTTTCAAATTTTTCTATCGTAATAAGTAATGTAACAGGAAACATTTTCTATGTTTAGGACAATTTTTTAGGATTAATTTCTGAAATGAAAATACTGAGTCAACATCAGGTGATACATCGTTTTCTTTTCCCAGGTGGTCCAACTAGTGATTTATTTATTTTTTTATTTTTTACTACTTTCACAACTGCTTTCCAGTTATTCTCATGGTAGCACTGGGAGTTGGGGATAGCAGCTGATATTTTTCTCATTTGTAAACTGAGGTTCTGAGAGTTTGTACTGGGCTGAGTTTATAATACATGGACAAATTAGAACAAGGATCTGGATCCTCCTTTTGGTCCCATTTATGTTGATTCTTGAAGCTTAGCTGGCATTTAACATTCATTGTCTTTAATCTTTGTAGTTTTCATATTCACAGGCAACCTTCAAGATTCCATTCCCTGTTATTTATATTCCACAAAGACATAAATCTAAGTCTTGTATATAACATGAGATCTGGAGGTAAATTATTAACTTAGTAAGCTTAGCCAGCCACTGAGAATCTGTATCTAATCTGTACATCTCAGTACAGATCTTGTTCTCTATAATGGTATTCCATTTATTTTCACAGTGAAGGTGGAGGGGCTTATGTAAAGAGATACTGACTGGGAAATAAAGTGATTCAATTTTTTTTATTGAATTTTTTTATTATTTTAATTCAATTTTTTATCATTTTAAAAATTGAATATTGGGGATTTTGTTTTTTAATCTCACTTTTGTCTCTTTCCATCAGGTTTCAGTTGCAATGGATGATGTCCAAAAAGAGGGTAAAAATAAGTCAGAAGATGCAAAGTCTGTTCATTTTGAGTCTAGCACTTCAGAGTCCTCAGTACTATCAAGTAGTAGTCCAGAAAGTACCCTGGTGAAGACAGAGCCTAATGGGATCCGTAGCATCTCATCAGATATGCCAGATAGTGCCCACAAAACTCCTGCCTTGGGAGCAAAGTCAGAAACTGGGCAGCCTACAAAGGTAGGACGCTTCCAGGTGACAACTACAACGAACAAAGTAGGTCGTTTCTCTGTATCAAGAACTGAAGACAAGATTGCTGAGGCAAAGAAAGAGGGACCAATGGCATCTCCTCCTTTTATGGATTTGGAACAAGCTGTTCTCCCCGCTGTGATACCAAAGAAAGAAAAGCCTGAACTGTCAGAGCCTTCACATCTGAATGGGCCATCTTCTGACCTGGAGGCCGCCTTCCTAAGCAGGGATGTGGATGATGGTTCAGGTAGTCCACACTCCCCCCATCAGCTGAGCTCAAAGAGCCTCCCTATCCAGAATCTAAGTCAGAGCCTTAGTAATTCATTCAACTCCTCTTACATGAGTAGTGACAATGAGTCAGATATTGAAGATGAAGATTTAAAATTAGAGCTGCGAAGACTACGAGAAAAGTAAGTGTATTTTCTTCTGTAAAAGAATAATGGCAGAATCATAGTAAGATCTAGCTCCTGGTGCCTAGTATTCTTTTCACTGCAATATGCTTATATCTCATTTCTTTCAAACAGAGGGTGCTATGCAAAAGCTAGTTTCCTCATTGTAGTTCTCATTAGGTCTTGTATTTATAAGGACCCGTAGCATTTCTACTTCTAGAACTTCTTCAGCACCTTTGTATTATTACTATATTATTGTTTTTCTTAATAGCACTTTTTATCATTATTAACCTAATTTAATAGTCTACCAAATGAATCTAGTAATGGATGTAGATTATGTGGCAGGTTTTATAGATCATATTTGACACACTGGTCCAGAGTAGCAAATTCAGTACTCCTGTGTATGCCTCAAAAATCAGGAAATCTTTTCTCCTAACATATCATCAACTACTTGTTGGTTAGGAGCTTATTGGAATTTGGCTTGGGTAATGGAGGCCAAACAATATGAAGTAACAAACTAGAATCTCAAGGTAATAGAAGAAATTACGTTAAGTACACTGAGGGGGGAAAGATTCATGAGTAAGTAAATACTTGAATAGAGTTTAAAGAATATGTTGTTAAATCTCATTTGAATAAAAGTGATTATAATGTTTTTGATTCATGTTTGGTTATCTTTCACAGACATCTTAAAGAGATTCAAGACCTGCAGAGTCGCCAGAAGCATGAAATTGAATCTTTATATACCAAACTGGGCAAGGTTCCCCCTGCTGTCATTATTCCCCCAGCTGCCCCTCTTGCAGGGAGAAGAAGGCGACCCACTAAAAGCAAAGGCAGCAAATCTAGTCGCAGCAGTTCCTTGGGGAATAAAAGCCCCCAGCTTTCAGGTAAAAAGCCATGGACCAGGTCAGCCTTGGCTGTCCCATCTTTTGTTTCTGTCTCCTGACTCTATATGTAACCTATTGAGCCATTTGTTGTTTTTGTTAAATTTCAGAGGAGTTTGACTTTCCTAATATTCTTGCTTCCTTGACCTTTCCACTCCTTATATTTATAGTACCTCTATTTGTTGAGTCTATGGAAGGGTGAGTACTATGGCTTATTCCATTGTAACCCATATTACTAACTACCTCCATTACCCAAGCCACTTACAGTTGTTCTTAAGGATAAAACACTTAGCATTGCCTGGTTACTCATATAATTCACATTACACCAAACTCATAGGCAATTGGAAAAAAATACTTTTAGTAAAAGTTCAGGTAAAAGAAAAAACTTTTAGTAAAAGTTCAGGTAGGTTTTTCCTTTCAGTGAATGAATTATCCATAATTGCAGCTGGGATGAATGTAAATTTCATTTAGATGTTTGGATATGTCTTAGGTGGTAATTTTCCTGATTAAAGTTTTTATTTCATTTATGTATATTGAAATAAAGAACTTGCTCGTGGCTGTAATAAAAAATAATTCATAATCTCTTGTAATGAACTACAGTTTGTCTATTTTAATGGTGATAGAATTCTTACCCTTTGGTGAAATTATGAGAATGTTAACAGATAATTGGTTGTAAAGTGAAAGACTGAAATAAATTTATACCTCATAGTTGTTCTCCAGGTCTAATATAAATGTGTTGGAAAGCAGTTGCAAACTTCTTAGCAGCTTTCCATTCTCTGGAAGCTTTCAGAAACCCAAACCATTTCTCTAGTACATCAGAACCCATTCATTAGTAGAAATGTGATTATAAAGGATATCAGCTAATTATATCCTGATCCCAATTTTGACATACTTTTTGAGTGGCCTGCTAGTCTGCCAATTAGTAGGGAACAGAGAAATTGGTCAATTTCAAGACAGTTGACTAGGGAATAAAAGCCACCTGCCACAAATAATTTTAAATATGTATTACTCTGTAGTCATCTGCATTATTTTTGACACCACTTTTGTACTTGACCTGACACATACTTAGAAGGAAAACTAAGCAGAGACTGCCCACCAAACCTATTTGTATCCTGCACCAATTCAGTGTTACAGGTTTTTAAAAGCAATGATGGAATTGTAAAATGGAATTCTCCCATATCCACTGCGTGTTCTACTCAGCTGAGACTTGGGAACCATCTAGGTTAACTAAACTAAAAGTCTTTCGGAATAGTTACTCCAGCCCTATTGCCTATTGATTCTCATGTCATTTCTCACTTCCCCTCCCATTAGTGAGGCCTTTTGTTCTTTCATCACTTACAGCTTTTGACCTATTATTAGTCACTTAGTGGGACACATTGAAGAATAAGAATATAAGAATAGTGCCTGTTAAGTTTATTGGGAAAGCTGGACATGTTTCCTCATGCCACTTTATCTTTTGGCAGGTAACCTGTCTGGTCAGAGTGCCACTTCAGTTTTGCACCCCCAGCAGACCCTCCACCCTCCTGGCAACATCCCAGAGACTGGGCAGAATCAGTTGTTACAGCCCCTTAAGCCATCTCCCTCCAGTGACAACCTCTATTCAGCCTTCACCAGTGATGGTGCCATTTCAGTACCAAGCCTTTCTGCTCCAGGTCAAGGTAAGCAATCAAAGCAATCAACATGTTCTAAAAACATGAAAATGGAGATACTGCCATATCCGCAACAAAAGCCTGATGAGCATCCTATTAAGGTCAGTTGGAAGACCGGCTGACCAGAACACAGCCTGTGTATTAAAACACTTTCGGATCTTGAGCTGGAAAGGGAAGATGAGTAATGATTATATTAGGTGAATTCATTGCTCCTATCAGATGAAATAGGTTTTTTCAAAGGATTACAGCAAAAGGTTGTATTGTGACTTACATGAGGACTTAACCAAATTAATGACTCATTTGGGATTTGCAACATAGGCTTTAATACTAGACTGAGATTTCCTGGACCAAAATTAAGGAGTTTTAGCAGTTTCTGAAAGCTAATGCATTTGCCTAGCCAGTGTAGACTTTTTTAACTTGTAAGTATGGGAGTAGCATTCTAAGATAAATAGCCCTACAATTCAATTTGTTACCTGTAATCTACTTCCTAAATAGAGTTTTATTTATTAATGATCATTTAAAACCTTCCTGTAGCAGAACGCTGCTAGTAACGATAGAACGAGAATTGGAAGAACTTAGGTGTCTGGGTGGAAAAGAATAAGAGAAGAGTTAGGTAACTTGCTTAGGTGCTTTTGCCACAATATCACAGATAGTAAAGGTAGATCATCATTGGACTAGGTAAATGTGCTTGCTTGCCGGGAGCACAAACCAGCTAGCATTATTATTCACACTGGGAAAAGCTTCAACATTTTGCAAAGTAAGGGAATTGAGACCTAATATTTCCTGTCCTACCTATCTGACATTTCCCTAGAAGCTTGTTCTTCTGTGTGCCATCTTAGCGCATTTCACCACTCCAGCCTCAAGTTTCTAACATCTTGTAGTTGTGTTCTGTCTCTTCTCTCTCTGTTCTTCCCTGTTTTTCCCCTCTCACAGGCTGTGCGAAGTTTAACTGTGCATCTGAGCAGGTGACATTCAAACCTGGTGGCAGGAGGACCCGATTTCTGAGTACGCCCTGCTTGGCTCTTTGTGTGTAACACCTTTACTCCTTCCTCGTCCTTGTTTTTCTGCTGCTTGGATCTGATGTTTCATGCAGTCCATTTTCATTTGTCTCTTTGTATATCATCTACTCAGTGGCTTGGCTGAACTATTACACTCAGAAGTTTGGGTCTCTATATCAATTATGATAAAAGATGTAGAAATAAGAACAGGTTTCTATAAACTTCAAAATAACTTTCTGGTAGAATTGCTTCTTTATAGATCCATGACAGAGTAGAAAAGGTGGTAATGCTGTATAGACTGCAGGGTCATTTGGGATAAAGACTGAAGTCCATAGTCCTACTCACTTCCACCCCTTGCTTTGGCATTAGAAGTGACAGAAAGCATTTTGACCACTAATGTACTTAGATCCTGGCAGCAAGGGAAAATTACACCCTATTTTTTTATTCTTTTTCCGAGTAGGTTGAAATCTTTTTTTTCTTCTCAATTAATCCTGGCCATGTGTCCATTGAAATGATGCTAGAATCTCTTCATTGGATCCTTTCACCACCCTTAACCTTCTAACTCCCTAAAATTGATAGTTCAAAAAGGGTTTCAGTGTAGTTATTCTGATCAAGCATTTATTCTCAAGAACCAGAGCCCAGGGCCTGCCAGTGAAAATGGTCTCTTTAACATGATTGCTAGGATTTCTTAGCTTTCTTAAAAGCAAGGCACAATAGTAAATCACCCAATTTCCCAGCCCATCTTCCCCAAATATGAAATAAAGATGATGCCTCTCTCGTAGGGCTGTTGTACAAAAAAATAAGATCATGTGCACAAACACTGGTAGCTCTTGGGAAGCACACATCATTTTCTTCTAATTAGCCAGTGCCTACCTGAAACATAGTAGGTAGTCAATAAATGTATATTGGAATAAAAATTTTAAAAACAAAAATCAGGCTCAAGTAGAAAACCTTTGTTAGAGTTTGGTTAAAGATCTTCACTGCTGAGGCCTCAAACTTCTGATGTGGTTACTGAAGTGCTTTTTAAATGCATGTGCTAAGGACATCACTGTTTCTGAGGTTCAGAGGTCCTTGGGCCTCATGTATCACTATCCAGGACTATTGAACAAAGAAGGAGGTGGAAGACATTATCCAGTTTGGTAGTTTTCCAAAGCATGTGTGATGTTTGGTTAGACCAGGCTGGACCAAGCACGTTAGCACCTTGACACTTAAATAAGCATATGTCCAGCTGGCAAGATGAGATGACATTAATAGGAGGAGACAAGTGTTTCAAAGTAGGTTGCTGTATGCTATACAGCCTGAAACGTCGAAGAGGGAAGAAAGAGAACCAAGGCTTTTTTGTGAAGAACAATGTGATACATTTCAGATTAATTAATTAAATAAATTCTCACCACACTCTTAAAGGTAGGTGGTAGCACACTATTGTTCAGATGAAAGTGGTTAGAAATATTAAATCTTACCACTTCCTTTTGGGTCTAGAACGAGAGGCCCTACATCTGTTGAAGGCACACAAGTATACATCATGTAAGCCTTGGTAAACAAATTACGAAAGGCAGATTTAAAGCAAATAGGGAAAGGAAAACAGGCATTTATTTACCAGGTGTGGGGTCTTTTTAGTTTGGGATGCGTTATTCTGTGCTCTCAAAATAGATTATGGTTTGGAAGCACGGCTTGGCTTAACGCTTTATTTATGTTCAAAAGTTGCTTGTTTTCCACATACTTTTAAAAATTTTTCTGGAGGGGACGGGGTTAGTATGTATGTCTAGGATTTGGAAATATATTAGCCGATTTAAAAGGATTCAAAACTGTAACAATGGTACTGTCAAGTCTACTGTGGTAGAATTGTTTAATGCATTTTATCGAGTGCTTTTTAACAACCCAGCAGGAGAAACAGAAAGTGGGACGGGGTCAGTGGAAAGACTGCTTGGGTATTTGAAATTCAAGCAGTAAGACCTGAGAGACTGGAGTTCTTCCCCCAGCTTCCCCCAGAACCTTAGTGCAGAGCATTACTTTTAGATACAAAGACTGGTGGAAGCTCAGCCGTCAGCCAGGTGCCACTGGCCATCAGATAACCACGTGAAGGCTGACAGCTAGCAAGCTGCGTCCCATAGAACTGTACCCATAGCAGGGACTCCCAGGTCCCACCAACCTGTCTCTCTTTCTGCTTTCTCTTGCTGGCACTTTGTGTGCTGTTTGGAGATTCTAAATATTTTACACTGATGTTTCTTTGTCTTTAACACGTTGCTCTCTCTTTGTGCTTCAGGGAAGATGGTGAAAAAAGTCTGTCCTTGCAACCAGCTCTGTAGTAATTATCTTTTCTTTCTGTTATTTTTGGTCCTTGATTGCAAAGCCTGTTATCCATGAATTCTTGGAACCCTGAAGCTTCACAACACCCTCATTTCCCAACTTCCATCTGTCTAGTTCTGCACCCTGTTCTAATATATTTTTTAACATGCTTAATTGCTGACCTCTGGCTATCCTTACAGATTAAGAAATCACCTCCTAGTCAATGCTCTCACATGATGACCCTCTGTGATCCTGGCTTTGTGATAATTATGGATTGATGATGCCCATGATAGAGAGAGAGAGATCAGGGATGTCTGGCTCTTTGGGGAGAGCCCTTTAGTTAGCAGATATGTGCCAGCCGCTGTTCTCCCACTGGAAAATCAGCACTGGTCAAAACATAGAAAAGTCCGCATCCTCATATCACAGCAGGAGGCGTCTGCTAGATTGGGGAGGAGAAAAGCACTACTTTGTAGAGTCTGGCTTCTTAGGCTGATGGCTTCTCATTAACGTGCATGCAATTCAACTACCCAATCGGCCACCTAGACAGTCAGAAAACTCTGTATTTGGGGTACTGGGCAATAAGCTGTGACTCATAGTAGGTTATCGTTCATGGGATCTGGTGGTGGGACATGGGGGAAATGTATTATGTCAGGAGAAAAAAATGGATTTGGGGTGGTAAAATATATACTACTTCCTAGAGCTTTGCAGCAAAACTGAGAAAGGTCTAGAGGCTACTCAGTGTACTCTCTGGAAGGCAAGCAGCATCCTCAAAAATATGTGTATTATAAGTGTTTTTAAACCATTTCCTACTAAAGTGGACTAAATGCACTATCCATGCTTCTAGCTTTTGTAGTCAGCTTTTCCCAGGCATTAATTTCTGGTCAGAGAAGGATGTGTTTGTTTCCTTCTTTAATGGGAAAGCCTGTTTTCAGAAGCCAGAATAAGGTTAACTGTATGGCCAACCTCCTCATAGTATAAACCCCACCTTCATAATCCAGTACTGTGTAAGACAGATGAAAATGAAGAATGAAATTTGGTTGTAAAGGAGCCTCACAGCATCAGAGACGACTAGCATGAGACTAGAGAGGTGTGACCCCGGCATGAGCTCTTTGTGAATAAGCAGTGTTCACCTCTACTGAGCTTCTCATATTTGGCTTGTGACAGTTCTTCTCACTTGTGATTGTTTCTGGTTTTCATTTTGATTGTCTCACTCATCATCAAGCTCACCAAGCAGTTATTGTTCAAACAGGAAAATAGCCCTCATGCATGTGATACGCTTGCTTTCTGGATTCTATTACTGTCACGACTGCCACCCTCATTGCTTGTGCTTCCCACTCTGTGCTTCCCCACCACGGTCTCTCTTGCTTTTCAAGGAAAGCTGTTTGTTTCCTGTGCTTTTATCCTTTTCCACTTGGGTTTCCTGTCCCACAGGAGAACTTACTCTGCCCTTTACGCTGTATGTGCAGTAGCTATCCCCTTGTGGCTCCAGTGGGCCCTCAGAAGTGAGCTAATACACACACTGCAGTAATCCATGTCTTGCCTTGGTGGTAAGAAGCATGTGACCTTCCTCACTCTGCAGCTTCACCTCAGAATTAGCTGTTCCTCTAATACAGACGTGCTTGTGTGTGCCATTCCCAGGGCAGTGGGGTATAAACTTGAGACCAGCAGTGGATTATAAAGGGCTTTTAAATGGCAGAGTTGCTTCGGGCATGCTGCTGTGCTCTGGTGCTGCTTCGACCTGGAAAGCAGGAAAATGTATGCATTTATTTAGCCCCCAGCATTATTTGGATATCTTAAGGCCTAGTGGCTCACAACTTACCTTAGTAGCTTTTATTTATTCTGCAGCAAATGTGAATTCTGGTAAGAAAGTGGGGGGTGAGGGAAAAAAAACAAGATTATGACTTTTCTTTCCCTCTTCCCTAAAACTTGCCTCTTCGAATAATCTTCAGTGTGCCCTCCAGCAGAGCCGAAATCAGGCAGGACACAGACTCCTTCTTCCTTTCTCATCAAACCATAGAAATAGAATTCCTTCATCATAACCTCAAAGCTTCCTCCTTCCCTTTGCACTCCTTCCTCAGCTGAATGTTCCTGTTGCTTCCACATACAAGTGCTTGCTTGCTCTCCTGGGAAAGGGGGGAACGGGTGAGAATCCACAAACCAATTGAACCAATTGAGACTGAGGTCATCTTTAGGAAAACCATGTGTTCCTGGAGTTGAAAGATTCAGGCACACCACAGAGAACCTTCTTCATGACTAATCTTGGTTCTTAACTCATAGGCAACTGGGAGAGGTTGAAGCCTTCATTCCTCCCGAGTTTGTTTACAAATTTGTGTGTACGGGTCCAGGTGAAAAAGGTTTTTTGAACCGAGCATGCTGTTTCTTTTATCACCTCTTTCTGTTAAAGAATGGCTAAAGACTGTGGCACAGTATCCACATGGTGTGGGAAGCCCATCTTTTCCTGGGCCAAGCATCTACCTTTGCTTTCCTTTAACTCCTACTTTAACCCTGCCTCAGTGCTCGAGAAATCCTCTTTTGCCCTGCATTCTGCAGCATTCTAGAGCCTCACTGACCATACCACACCTCCCTCATCAGCGTGATGCTGGGAATAGAGTACTGAAACTTACTTTCTGTACTCTAGATGCCATGGGAATGGGCAGAAAGGGGTCCCTCCCCTTTGTGCCTACCACCATCTTGAGTTTTTTAGCCTCATCTGCAACTCCTGAAGAGAACCTGTTTTCATTACCCTCTTATGCCAAAACATTGGCTAAACAAGACCTTGGAACCTTCCCGTCTTGCATGGCTTCCCAACTCATCCTCTCCCCATTCAGTGGCTTGCCATTCATCATCCTGTGAAGTTTTCCCTCTTCCTGAAGCCAAAACCCAACCTCCTTTTAATGGTTGTATTCTGTTGCTTCTTTTAATCCTAGGGACCAGCAGCACAAATACTGTCGGGGGAACAGTGAACAGCCAAGCCGCCCAAGCTCAGCCTCCTGCCATGACGTCCAGCAGGAAGGGCACATTCACAGATGATCTGCACAAGTTGGTAGACAATTGGGCCCGAGATGCCATGAATCTTTCAGGCAGGAGAGGAAGCAAAGGACACATGAATTATGAGGCAAGTCTTCTTCCCTTCTTGCCATTTTCCTAATCTGTCAAGAGTATCACTTAGCACACATCTGAATTCAGAGAGGATATCAAGTACCCAGGCTAGTGCTTAACATTTCATGCCACAGCCTTCTGTAGTAGCTCATGACTTTTAACCCCTTTAGAAACAAACAAAAATCACCCGGTTGCCCTTTTATTTTTCTTCCCTGAATTTCTAGCTCCGTTTGTCAACTAAAGTTTTTTCTGCCCCTTTCTTTCGAAGCCTTGAACTACATACGCATATGTACACAAGCACATGACTGCCCACTTCCAATCAGAATAGTTATTCTAACCTAACATGTTAAGTATAAAAAGCCGATAATTATTATGGAAGGTTTGGTGCGAGTTTTGGTTTCGCTATACCCTGTAAGATTAGACCAGCCCCAGTCCTAGAATTTTATTTCAGTACTACCCATTTCACACCCATGGGTTACACCCACACCGGACTTTACATGTAGTTGTTTTGTTTTCAGGGCCCTGGAATGGCAAGGAAGTTCTCCGCACCCGGTCAGCTGTGCATCTCCATGACCTCAAACCTGGGTGGTTCTGCCCCCATCTCTGCTGCATCAGCTACCTCTCTAGGTCACTTCACCAAGTCCATGTGCCCCCCACAGCAGTACGGTTTTCCAGCTCCCCCCTTTGGCACTCAGTGGAGTGGGACAGGTGGCCCAACACCACAGCCACTTGGCCAGTTCCAACCTGTGGGAACTGCCTCCTTACAGAATTTCAACATCAGCAATTTGCAGAAATCCATCAGCAACCCCCCAGGTTCCAACTTGCGGACCACTTAGACCTAGAGACATTAACCGAGTAGATTTGGGGGCAGGAGATGGAATGCTGAGGGGTGGGCGGGAGGGGGGAATGGGAAAGTAGCCTATATACTAACTACTAGTGCTGCATTTAACTGGTTATTTCTTGCCAGAAAGGAATGTTTTTAATACCGCTTAGAGCCCTCAGAATTGAGAATCTCCCTCCCCCTTCACCATTTATTGGAGTGGAACAAGAGGGAAAGAGCAGCTTTCTTGTGATGGGGCGGTTTCAAACTATGCTTTCCTGTTCTCTACACCCAATAGCAAGGGCTAGGAAAGAGAATCATTTATCAGAAAGCCACAAGAGAGCTCAGTCAGTGGAAAAACCAAACCCCATCTGGATTTTCAAATGGGTGGAGCTCTTAATGTTGGTACCCACCCCAAATCCCTTATTCCCTCAAGAATCCAAACCACAACACAAAAAAACAAACAAAAAACCTATTGGGCTCTCTCCTACCCTGTTCCCCCCTCCCTTTTTTTTTTTCTTTCTTTGTTTCTTCTTTTGTTTCTTTCTTTCTTTTTGCTCTTTAGAACCCAGTGAAAAACACCAGGGGACTGAGGTTTCAACCCTTTCTTATGATAGGTCATTAGTGCTTTTAAGCAAATGATATTAGCAGCTTTGACTGCAGCATTAGCAATTAGGAAAAAAAATTAAGTTCCCTGCGGACATGTAACTTTGCCATCAGTTTTGATGTGGAAACACTGTGATATATAAATGTTGTTGGACAACAGTAGTTTTAAGAGTAAAATACGAAAGGTTTAAAAAGTTGAAAAAAAGCAAGCTCTGTCCTTTACTTATTGAGACACTTTAGCTTTTTCCTTTGTATTTCCATTGTAGTAGATAAATAAATGTGAATGTAAGATTGTATAAATTACTGTACTTGAATACTTCTGTTCTCCCAGTATTGCTTGCTGGATATTTTAGTGCCTTGGACTTCTACTGCTTCTGCCATTAGCACCAACTTCTCATCAGACCCCAAATCAGCAGAGGGCGTATGGAAGGATAATAGGTCCATGTGACCCCAGCAGAGGATTATGCCAAAGGGAAACTGAAAGAGTATTTTTTTTTTTTCTTTTAAGTCATTCAATTTTGTCTAGAGCAGGTGTAAGATGAGCAGGGTGAGAAGTTAAGTTGACATCAGTGGTTGAAAGCAGAAAGTTCTGTTTCAGGAACAGTGAGGAGGGGTTTCGTAACAAAATTGGACAATTTAAAAGATTAAGGGTGGTGTGTGATAAATGAAGAAAAAGGAAGACTAAGAATGGGAGAACAAACTCGTTATGAAGATATGTGATGCCTGGCCTGTGGGTGCCATAAGCCTTACTTGAGCCAGGCTGGAACAGACAAGATCTAGTAGAAATGGCTGAATATAGAGGGAGTGGGGGCTAGTTTTTAAGTTGGGAAACTGATAGTGAAGAGTCACAGATGGAGAAAGTTGCTCTAAGAAAAACTGTATGGATTGCTTTCCTCTTGTTGCAAATGTCTCCTGCATTTCCCAGCTTGGGGTACTGTATTTTGTGGAAAGTGGACCCACATCTGAATTAAGCATTGTAAGAAAGAGTGCTTATTCCTACTCATTTCCTATGTGATGTCCAGATGGTTGCAGAATCCTAAGTCTGTTGTGCCACCTCTTTTTCTAGAATTGCAACTGATATTCTCACATTTTCATATAAACAAATACTCCCCTTAAGTAATAACTGCAACCAATCAGTATTATTTAGTGCTATGCCTAGTTGTAATGGGCAGTTCTGTTATTTTCAGAGCTTTCAGGAAATACTCCTAATTGGCTATGTTTAGATCTCTGTTATCTCTGAAAATGGGGAAAGAAGCTAGAACTCTTAATTTAGGGGGTGCTTCTTTTCACTTGAGTTGGGAAATTAACATAGTTCTGATCTCTGACCCACCTCAACTGGCACATCCCAGGAATCCCCACAATAGGAAGAGCCTGGTTGGCTGTCCTGTCCTGCCGTTCCTTCATGGGTCCTATATTAAGTTAGCCTAGGTCCCAAAGACGCAAATGAGAGCTGAAGGTTTAGGAAAGTAGAAATTAACAGGGGTTCCAAGCCCTACTTCAAAGCTGTTTACTTATTTATTCTCTGCTTAAGATCCTTGGGGAGATGGTAAGAGTAAGAATAGAACAAAGAAGGTGCTGAGTAAATGAGAAACGGACCACCTAAGATGAATGAAACTATACTTTCTACTGGAGGAACGAGGGAACCAAATGCAGCACATTATTTTTTGTTATTTTGGCTTAATTTTGAGATCTCTTCACTTACACACAAAAAGTAAGAACTGGTTTTATTTACTGTTGATTTTTCTTCCCTCCTGTGGATGAAATAACTGAAGCCTAGAGGAATGAACTAGCGCTACTGAACTGTTTAAATTATTTTTGTGTTAATAGTACACTTTGAGTATCTTTTTCCACATTACAAAAATCTTTCTGAATTATAAATGTTTTCCTTACATTATTTAACAATGTACACTGTTTAGAAAAACAAATAAACTAAATTCAAACCTTGGGGGTTTCTCAGCAGCCGTTAATTGTACATTTTGCACTAACTCTGGGTGTTGCGCTTCTTGTAAGATTGCGCTTTGTGCTTCAGTTTGTTACCTTTGTAGACTTATTTAATGAAACCATTCAAATAAACCAAACTTGCTTTTGTTGAGCTGTGGGCTTTCATTTCCAGCAAATTCCTTTTTCATGATCTCATTAGCTCACTTTTGAGTTGTGTACGATTTATATAACTAGATTCCTAACTCCAGGACCTCTTTAGCAGTCCTGAACTAAACTAAGATTATGCTTCAGAAAAAGTTTTTTTCTGACGAAAGTGGTAAGGGTGTCAAAATCAAAAGATGAACATATGACCAAATCCATGTAACGAGGTAGTAAGGTAAAAGGAAAATCGGGGTAAGCTACATCATCTTCCGAAGGAACAGAAACGGCTGCCTTCCTGTACTTCAGGAATTCCTTGCCTCGGGTTCATAGCTTCCCACAGATGGGTGTTTGATGCAAAAATTTATAAAAGGCACAGCCCAAGCTACTGTTTTACTTAAAAAGTAAACCTGCAAACTCATTGTTTGGGGGGAAGAATTATGAAACATCTGAAACTATACGAAAAAAACATTTTTTGAGCTACAAAGCCACCTTCACATGTGAAATGCAAAAATATAAACACCTACTTACATTTTTTGTTAAAAAGAATTTATTTTGCTTTCTTAAAATGCCTTTTCTTTGGTCCTAGATCATTCCCTTGATAAGGAAAAAAACCACAGGACACTGACTTCATAAACCTATAAAGGAGAGATGATCATAGATGAAGATGGCAGGCTGGATTGATGCAAAGTAGCGAAACCCCACTCTAGTCTTTGTTCTTAGGATACACAGTGTGGTGTGGACAGCAGTAAATGTAGAGACCTAAAGTTCAAAGAAGACAGACATTAACAATAACTTGATATAGGTGGTGGTTAAAGTCCGTGCTTCATGGTATGGCTTATATTGCTTGAAGGCAGGTAGCCACTGATGACTCCTGAAAGGCCTATACTTTACTAATGTAAGAGCTTAGGAATAAATAGAGAAGAGCCTCAAGAGCCAGAGAGAAGGTGTTCAGTCGTAGAGCCTCCCCACTGCAGTGTGTGACAAGCTTTTTAAAAGGGCTTTCTGACTGCTCTGCTCTGTCTGCAGTAGGCTCCAACACTCAAATCCTCAGGTAAAGTTCAGAATGAAGCAAGGTAAATCCTTGGAAATAAAGCTCATTCCCTAGGAATGATGAACAATTTCATGACCAAAAAGTAGTTTTCGAAAGTCCCTTTTGTGACAAAGTCCAATGATGTGACCGGAGCCTCAGTTAAGATGGATCCAGTTTCCTTTTCTTCAAGTCTTGGTTCTTGTCATAGAAATCACAGTTTACTATGGAAGAAAAAAAATCATTTAAACATGACTGCCATGATTTTAAAATAAGAAACTGACAGCTAAAATTTGAAAGGCCAGTGGGGCAGCTGGGTGGCTCAGTTGAGCATCCAGCTATGGCTCAGGTCATGATCTCATGCTTCGTGAGTTCGCGCTCACTGCTGTCAGTATAGAACCTGCTTCAAATCCTCTGCCTCACCGCCAACACCCCCCCTTGCTCCTCCCCCATTCATTTGTGCACGCGTGGTCTCTCTCAAAAATAAACATTAAACCTAAAAGATGAATAAAAATTGTTATGAGGGTAGATCTTTGTGTTATCTCTAGATCAAGTTGCAATACCAAACATGATGGGCCTACTTTAATAGATAAAGTTCTTCAGTCAGTCATGCTTAAGCTTCCTACTACTATCAAGGGTTATAAGGAGTTACACCTGAAGTCAGGGCCCCCAGAGAAAAAGTTCTGGCGTATAAGCCAGTTATCTTTCATTTTCTTACACTGATATTCCTCTGGCATAATATTATACAACTTCTTAAAATGGAATTCATCATTCTTTCTTTAAAATGCAAAGAATTAACCCAAGTTCTCCCTTCAATTTTTGTTGCTGAACACTCTCGCTACCTGTTATCTCTTGGTTACTGTTGTGAGTTTGGAGTTGCCTGGGTCCAGATTTTGCTTGTGGATCCTGGTGACAGAGGTCCTGTGGGGTCCTATTCCAGGTCACCACCTGGTGTTTCAGGACTGGTGTGGCAGGGGTCTGGAGTGGTTCTGGCCTAGACAAGGGCTTCACATCACTGTCCTCTGCATCTGGATCCATATCCCACATTCCAAGACTGTCTGCAAGGACAGAGATCGTGGGAAAACACAGCATCAACAAAGAAGTGTTCTCACAAAGCACTGGGAAAAACGTCATAAGAAATTCCATGTCGTGAGTGGACGATGACAGCTTTTGGAACTTCTCTCTCCCTGTCCACTAAAAATATGCCAGAGTTTCTCTTAGGACCATAGAGGAGCTGAGTATGTGCTGTCAGAACTGCCTGCAGTCCATTACGTGTCCTCTCTTTTTCTAAAACTTCGTGGGGCTATAAGATTAAAATGAGGATTTTTATGTCTCTCTTAAAATGTATTAGTGACTACCAAAAGTGCATTTCGTAGGTTTCATTTAATAAGAACCTATATTGGGGCACCTGGGTGGCTCAGTCGGTATGCATCAGACTTCGGCTCAGGTCGTGATCTCACGGTTCGTGGGTTCAAGCCCCGCATTGGGCTCTGTGCTGACAGCTCAGAGCCTGGAGCCTGCTTCAGATTCTATGTCTCCCTCTCTCTCTCTGCCCCTCCCTCGCTCACACTCGTCTCTCTCAAAGAAAAAAATAAACATTAAAAAATAATAATAAGTACGTATATTAATACTTAATTCACTCCTTTAGCTCCTACTGACCTGTGAGGAAGTCTTTCTCCGTGTGTGGTTCAGAAACAGTTATGGGGGTGCTGTGCTTCACAGGAAGTGCTGGCGGTGCGGCTACAGTTCACAGGAGAGCGAGCAAGAGAGGACAAAATCAGAATCACTCAGTTGTTGGAGGGAGCACCTCAGAAGTGCAAAGCTGCCTAGAGTTACGCTGGTTCCTGGCACAGCCAATAGGAGATCCAAGATTCCTGGTCCCATTCCTACCTACATACAGATCTGCATGAGGCTAAAATCATGATTCTCTTTTCTTCTCACTAAATTGGGGAGAAAACAAGGTTCATTTCTCCTAAAGCAACTATCCAGTTGGTCTGGGATAAGCCCTTTGCTTCTACTCTCTGGGAAAGACAATTCTCTTCAAACAATTTTGCCTCATGTTCACAGACAACTCAGAAAAGCTTTCTAATACGGAGATGGCCAAAGTACCTGAAAAGGGGAAAAAAAAGTTATATACCCTAAAATTTCTAGTTCTAGATTATGTCAAGGCCTCTTTCCTTCCCTGAAGATAGATGAGGGCGTCTTTAGAAATGGGGAAATGCATGGCAGGATTTCATAGAGTCTTAATTGCTTAGACTCTATCCTGACCTGATGTCCTACTGAGTTCTGGTTTGGACGTAACCGTACATACTGGCAGAGGATCAGGCTCGTCCCTCGGGACACCTCCCCAGGGCCTCCGCTCCCATCCTCCTCACACACCCTGATTCTTCTTTTCCACTGATGGAGCAGATAGTTGCACTTGCTGTTTCTCCATTTGTTCCCGGAACTGCTGCTGCAACTGTTTTTGCCGGAGCTTCCGCTGGTACGTGGCATCGCTCTCCATGGCGGAGGCCAGGCTTCTGCATCAGAAGAGCAATAAGGCGGGGCTGAGTTAACGAAGTAAACTCCTGAGGGAGGACACAGACCAGTCTGCTAGCTCAGGAGGTGAAAATGGAGGTCATGAAGACTGAGAAGAGAAAGAGAGGGAACCGAGGCCTCATACCGGGAGCTGCCGGCCTTGTCTTCCTGTTTCACGAGGTGGGGATCATCTGAGCAGCTTGGTTTGCAAGGGGAGGTCACCTCCTGTGGTTTCGGGGGTCCCAGAGTCACGTTCTGCCGGCAGCTGCTGTATCTTGCTTGTTCCACAGAGGGTTCAAAATCTTGTCTCTTTGCTTTAGTTAAATCCACTTCAAGAGGCAACTAATAAGGGAAGAAAGGTAAATAACTTCTTCCAAGTGCACTTCCCCTTCCTTTCCCTGCCTTCAAGGTCTAGATTCCTGGAAAATGGTATTTGACCATCCACTATCCATCGTGCCCTCTAGATCCTGAGAAGCTGAGACAAAGGATCCATACTTCGATCTGTGCTTCAACTAACATTTTTAATTATATGGGAGAAGTAAATTTCATTTTCTACTTTATACCTTTCTGTAGTAATCAAATTTTGGTAAAAAGGAATCTTACTTTGATTCAAGGCAAATGTTCTATATATCCTAATTTGAATCTTTCGTGGGCAGCTGGATCTGTCTGATGCTGTCTACTTTTTGTCTCTTTTTCGTGGAAATGATCACACATACTCCTTGTGGAGGCCTGTACTTTCTCTGGCCTTTCTTCCAGGACTTCCCCCAAAATACAACTCTCCTCAGTACAACACTCACAGGTTGCTATGGCACAACTAAGTGTCCTTCAAATGACAGGAGGAAGAAGACTTGGAAAGCACTGACGTCTCCCAATTTAGGGTAGTTCCTGCATCTCACCAAATGTGAGAACTAACTGTACTTCATGGCATTTGGCAATATGTTCTACTTCCAGGCCCTGAGCACTATAGAAACCCAGAGCTTTTCACTTGGGAGAACTGTCTCGATTCATATGGATGCTAATTTTAATAAAGATAATCTGAGGGGCACCTGGTGGCTCAGTCAGTTAAGCGAATGACTCTTGATTTCAGCTCAGGTCATGATCTCACGATCGTGAAATTGAGCCCTGCATTGGGCAATGTGCTGTGGAGCCTGCTTAGGATTCTCTCTCTCAAAAAAATAAAATTTGTAATTAATAACCTGAAAATAATTTCATTACATTATGAAATTTCTAATCTACATTGGAAAGTAAATGAGTAGGTTAAAAATAAATGAGCTTGGGGCACGTGGCTGCCTCAGTAGGTGGAGCATGCAACTCTGGATCTTGGGGTCATGAGTTCGAGCCCCACAATGGGTGTAGAGATTATGTAAAAATAAAAATTTTTAAATAAAATAATAAAATAAAATAGCGTATGCAACACAGATGAACACTGAAGACATTATGCTAAGTGAAATAGGCCAGTCACAAAAGAGCAAATATGTATGATTCCATGTACAGGAGGTACATACTTAGAGTAGTCAAAAAAACGAGGCAGAAGGTAGAATGGCAGCTGCCAGGGGCTACAGGGAAAAGGAAGCAGGAAGCTACTGTTACACTTTCAGTTTGGTAAAAAGAGAGTTCTAGAAATGGACAGTGGTGACAGCTGTACAACAGAAGGAAGGTTTATAACACCACTAACTACACTTAAAATGGTTAAGATGATAAGTTTTTTTATATATATTTTACTACAAAAAAAAAATGAACTTTGAAAAAAGTTTGAAAGACTCACAATGATAAGTGCTGCCAGAGACCTGAAACAGCTGAAACTATAAACCACAGTGCAGGAGTGTACATTAATACAACCACAATGAACACTGGAAAGATCTAAAACGAAGCATATGCCTATTCTCTGACCCGACCCAATAATTCATTCCCAAGATAAATGGGTGTGTATGCACCAAAAGACATGCAAGAATGCTAACCGCAGTCCTATTCAAAACAACCAAAAACTACTCCAAAACTCCGTCTATTAGACAGAATGGGAAAATGAGCTGTGCTATATTCACACAATAGAAAAGTATACAGCAGTGAAAATGCTACATGTGACATGAGTGAATCTCACAAACATGTCAATTGAAAGCCAGACACAGAACAGTTCATACTGTTTGATTCCCCAAGGTGCAAAAAGGCCAACTAACCTATATTGTTAAAAGAGGTTTTCCTTAGTAGTGATGAGGAGGGGAGAGCTTTGCAGTCACTGCAAGGAACACTATTGAGGCTTCTGAGACACTGATAATATTTTGATTTGATTTCAGATGGTTCTATGGCTATGCTCATCAAGCTGAACATTTATGATATGTGTACTTTTCTACATGTTTATATGTACATGTTAACACTTCAATGGATTTTTATAAAGCACAAACTATACAATTTCATTTATATAAAGTGCAAAAACAAAAAACCTACAAGACTGGGGCACCTGACTGGCTTAGTTGGTAAAGCATCCAATCCTTGATCTCAGGGTTGTGACTTTGAGCCCCACATTGGGTGTATATTACAGAAAGAGAGGAAGAAAAGAAAAAGAAATGAAAGGGAAGGGAAGGAAATCTATGAGGCTAACAGAATAGAGAAGTCTGGACAGTAGTTACTTTTCAAAAGAGAAGTCAAGGTAGTGAATGGGAGTGGCAAATGGGGGCTTTGGGGTACTGGTAATGTTTTTTTATCTGGGAGATAAATAGCTGTGTTCACTACTAAATATTCATCAGGCTGTGCCATTATGAATTATACAGTTTTCTGTGTATAATTTGCACTTCATTTTAAAAATTCACTTAAAAACTGGGGCACCTGGGTGGGTCAGTCGGTTAAGCCTCCGACTTTGGCTCAGGTCACGATCTCACAGTTCCTGAGTTCAAGCCCCACGTCAGGCTCTGTGCTGACAGCTCAGAGCCTGCAGGCTGCTTTGGATTCTATGTACCCCCCTCTCTCTGCCCCTCCCTTGCCTGTGCTCTGTCTCTCTCTCAAAAATAAATAAACATTAAAAAAAAATTTTTTTTTAATTCATTTAAAAACTAAGAGTAAAAAAGAAAGGGAGGATGTTAGCAGAATGGTAGACTCAGAAGCTCCACGGGCCCTTCCCCTAGAGACACTGAGTTACCAAGATACAAACTAGAATACCTTTCTGAGAACCCCGGTGACCAGCTAAGAAGCGACAGGCCTCAAGCCAGCATAAAACCAAGACAAGAATCCAGCAAAAGGGGTAGGAAAACTCCTGGCATTTTGCGTGGCCACTTGTGCCCCGCCCCTGCCCCTACCCAGCAGTGAGTAGCACAACCAGGAAGAAACCTCACGTACTGAGCTCTTCCTCTGGGATGGAAACAAAGGAGTAGACTGTGCATCCAATGTTGTGGCTTGTCTAGAGCTGCCCGTGGCATTGCTTTCTGTCTCACCTGACTCAGCACAATGATGAGACCAGCAACAGAGTTTGAAAGCCACTAAAAACAGAGATGAGCACAAGAACACTTTGGAGCTACAGTTATGCAGTGAGATGCCAGGAGGAGAAAGAGATCATAAGAGGTTTGAGAGGTCCTAGAACCTCTAGGTGGGCCAACTGGTAAAGTTCTTGCCCTGCACAAAACCAGTACATAAAGACTGGGACTGGTGGTTGTTTTCTTAAATGCCACATCTCAACAAAAGATCATATGGCATTTAAAGAAACAGGGAAATGTGGACCAAACAAAGTAACACAATAAAACTCCAAAAACAGACTCTAAAAAAAATGCAATCTATAAACTGCCTAACAAAGAATTTAAAATAACTATCATAAATGCTCAATCAGCTAAAAGAGAACACAGACAGCTAATGAAATTAGGAAAATGATGCATGGATGAAATGAGAACATCAACAAAGAAAAACTATTAAATAGCAACTAACAAGTTCCAGAGCTGAAAAATATAGTAACAGCTGAAAAATTCACTGGAGGGATTCTATAGCAAACTCGATCTGACAGAGGAAAGAATCAGCCCACAGGAAGACAGGTCATTTGAAATCATCTCAGAGAAGCAAACCAAAGGAAGAATGCAGAAATATGACCAAGCTTAAGGGGGCCTATAGGATACCTGTCACACTATATATTACAAGAATCTCAGAAGAAGAGAAAGAGAAAGGGGCAGAGAGATTATCTGAGGAAATAATGGGCCCAAAACTTCCAAAATCTGAGGAAAGAATATGTATACATTCAAGAAGCCCAAAGAGGCTAACTAAACTAAACCCAAAGAAGCTCACACCAAAACACATTATAATCAAACTGCCAAAAGTCAAAGACAACACACTAGCTACAAACTACCAGAAAGAGAAATTAAGAAAACAAACCTATTTACAATTGCATCAAAAAGAATAAAATACTTAGCAATAAATGAACCAAGGAAGTAAAAGACCCATACACTGAAAACTACAAGACACTAATGAAGGAAACTGAAGAACAAATGGAAAGGTATTTCATGGTATGGATTGGAAGAATTAATATTGTTAAAATGCCTAAACAACCCAAAACAATCTACAGATTCGATATAATACCTATCAAAATGCCAACGGCATTTTCCACAGAAATAGAACAAAGAATCCTAACGTTTGTATGGAACCACAAAAGACCCCAAATAACCGAAGCAATATTGAGAACAAAGCTGGAGGCATCATGCTACCTGATTTCAAACTATATTACAAAGCTATAGTAACCAAAACAGTATTTTCATAAAGACACATAGATCAATGGAAAAGAAAGGAGAGCTCAGAAATAAACCCGTTTATATGATCAACAAATTTATGACAAAGATGCCAAGAATGTACAATGTCAAAAGGACAGTCTCTTCAATAAATGGTGTTGGAAAAATGGATAGCCCGTGCAAAGAATGAAACCAGACCACTATCTGACACAATATACAAATATACACAAAATGAAGTACAGACATGAGTGTAAGACCAGAAACCATGCAACTCCTAGAAAAAAACACAGGTGATAAGCTCCTTAACACTGGTTTTGGTGATGACTTTTTGAATGTGACACCAAAGCAGAGCCAACAAAAGAAAAAATAAACAGGCAGGACTACATCAAACTAAAATGCTTTTGTATAGCAACAGAAACTGTCAACATGAAAAGGTTACCTACTGCATGGGTGAAAATATTTGTAAATGATGGAACTGGAGGGTATTATGCTAAGCAAAATAAGTCAGTCAGAGAAAGACAGATACCATATGTTTTCACTCATATGTGGATCTTGAGAAACTTAACAGAAGACCATGGGGGAAGGGAAGGGGGAAAAATGTTACAAACAGAGAGGGAGGGAGGCAAACCATAAGGGACTCTTAATACAGAGAACAAACTGAGGGTTGATGGGGCGTAGGGGAGAGGGGAAAGTGGGTGATGGGCATTGAGGGCACTTGTTGGGATGAGAAATGGGTGTTGTATGGAAGCCAATTTGACAAATTATATTTTTTTAAAAAATTTGTAAATGGGGGCGCCTGGGTAGCGCAGTCGGTTGAGCGTCCGACTTCAGCCAAGTCACGATCTCGCGGTCCGTGAGTTCGAGCCCCGTGTCAGGCTCTGGGCTGATGGCTCAGAGCCTGGAGCCTGTTTCTGATTCTGTGTCTCCCTCTCTCTCTGCCCCTCCCCCGTTCATGCTCTGTCTCTCTCTGTCCCA